AAAAGTAATAGTTTTCACTCATTTCTTGAACAACAAAACCAAATTAAAATAAATTAGTAAAATTTTTTAAGAAATAATAATGCAGATTTATGAAAATAAAATAAATAAATAAATAAAAAGAGGAAACTCTTGTACCGAATTATTGAAATTGGGATCAGAGCTAGCAGTGTCATCAAGAAACGACGTCGTTTTCTCCATCTGATCACGGCGGCGCCGTCGTTCCTCACAACCCTTCATTTTGCGGCTAGTTTTCCGCAAACTTCCGGCGGTGCACGACAAAGTTTCATTTTCCGGGAAAATATCTTCATTTTCCGGGAAAATAACATCATTTTCCGGGAAAATTGGAGGCCCAGAAGAGGCATCAGAAACCATAGACGAATCCAGTTCATGTTCATCTTTATGAACACCAAAAGAATCATGAATTGTTGGAGTGAACAAAGAAGAAGAAGAAGAATTCTCCAAATACACAGTCCAACCAGACTCCGCCGACCCATCCATTGCTAAAATTATTATTTTCTCGCCTCCCAAACAGAAAATTTTCGTGGATTTTAATGGGAATGAATCGAAAACTGCCAGTTGGTTGGTGGATTACCAATGGAAAAAGGAGAGAGAAAGAGGAGAGAGAGAGGGACAAAGAAACCCACAATATGTTCACATGGTAGACAGCAAGGCTTTGTGAACCCTTTTAACATATAACCCAAGTAAGGAAGCATTCATGGGCACTTCCTGTCCTTGTCTTTTTCTAGTTTAGACCTTCTACTCCTACCCCGACCACTTATATACCGATCTAAGACGACCAAGATTTGTTCTAATTCGGTTTTGAAAACCCGTGTTAGAAAGTGGAATGATGTCTTGTGAGATCCCACGTCGGCTGGAGAGAGAACTGAAGTTTTCTTTATAAACGTGTGAAAATTTCTTACTAATAGACGTGTTTGTAACGGAAAAAAACGGACAATATCTGCTAGTGGTGAGCTGGGGTTGGTACAAATGATATCAAGAGTTAGACACTGTGTGGTATGTTAGCGAGAACATTGGGTCCTTAAAGGAGGTGGATTGTGAGATCTCACATTGGTTGGAAAAGGGAACAAAGTCTTCTTATAAATGTGTGTAAACCTTTCCCTAACAGACGCGTTTTAAAACTGTGAGACAGTTATATGTAACAAGCTAAAGTGGATAATATCTAATAGCAGTGTGCTTGGGCGGTTACATGTCTTGTGAGTTTTTTGGTTTGTAGTAATCTTACCATGTGGCTCAAATCACTAAAGAAATGTGTTCGAGCTCTAACTCATGCTCGTTAAGGCACATAGCTAACCTACATGTGTGGATATAACTGACGTGTAATTTGCTAGCCACGGGTTACAAATGGTCAGAAGTGGTAGGGCAACGTCTAAGTATGTACTAACTTATGTTTCTAAGTTTATGGGACCAAACATCATACTCGTTTTAGTTAGGTTGGGTTCAAATGAATGAAACTTTTTTATTTAGTTAATTCACCCGTTTTTTAAAACTAGATTGGATTGAATCGAACCAAGTTGAATTTATTTAAAAATATATATATTTGCTATATATAATTATATATTCATATATTTTTTAAAAAAATTCATAATTACTTTTCTCGTTATGATTAAATAACCTAAACTCAACTAAAAAATTATATGTTGGGTCGAGGCGTGTTAGGTTGGATTCAGTTCATTATTCAATGAGTATTGCTCGAGTTGAAAAAATTTACAATGAAAAATAATTGATCTAAAAAATGTCTCAATCCGATTAAATCTAACCCACGAGACCATAGGATTCGATATTATTGGTCGAGACGAGGCGATTTTAAAAAGATTACAACATTAAAAATTCACAATAATTTTTGCAAAATAGGTCTATTATAAAGTCTATTTATGTAATTATTGTTTAATATAGGGTTCAGAAAAATAATATGGATACTACTTAGAAATGGGGCCCAAAACTCACATTGGGCCACAATGTAATAATGGCCCATTTTCCTAATTTAACCCCAATTTTTTTACCAATAAAGAAATTTTGTTGGTAATTTTTTTGCATTTCAATTTTTAACCTTCTATACATATTTTTTTTACTATTTACTTATTTCACATTCACCAATGAGACGGGCGGCCAAAGGACGATACAAACCGACCAACAAGTCAAACATCAATCCAAGCATATCAACAAACTAATTGTAACGGTTCAAGCTCACCGTTAGCAGATATTGTCCTATTTTGGCTTTTCTTTTCGAGTTTTGTTTTTAAAACACGTCTATTAGAGAGAGGTTTCTATAATCTTATAAAGAATGTTTCGTTCTCATTCCCAACCGATGTGGGATCTCATACTAATGGTCTACCTAAACCGATCAATAAGGTAGAGGTTGATCCAAGCATATTATCGAGCTAGAAGCTTATCCATATCGATTAACAAGCGAAAAGTCGATCGAAGTGGAATAGTAAGCTAAAGGCTAACCTAAATCTACCAACTACCAATAGCCGATCCAAGAAGATCAACAAGTCAAAGGTCGATCTAAACTATTCCACAAATCAGAGGTCGACCCAAATCGATCAACAAGTTAGAGGCTGAGATCCAAGAAGATCAACAAACTAAAAAGTCGATCATCTAAAAAGATCACCGAAGTCTTTTTAGATCGATTCAACGCTAGTTTGTGAATGGAACATTGTTTATCCCTACAACCTTAAAAGACTAATCAATAAGTCTGTCGTTTTCTTTAGAATTAAAATAATGAAATATTTGAACAATTTTAAATGTCGACGGACAAAGCTAAGCTAATATCAAATAAAGCATTATTAAATATTTGTTTTTTTTAAATTAATTTAATGTTTATTATAAAATATTACAATATATATATTTTTTATTTTAATTCATTTTGATTTAGTATTATTGTAATTAGAATATGATGAATTTGAACAAATCTCTATTAATTAATACACCATAGATTACAATAAAAAAAAATATTTCATTATAATCGAATTATGTTCTAACTTTTTGTTTATATTAAAAAAATAAATAAATAATATCTCATTTATAATTATTTGAAAAAAGAATTATAATATTGTGATACTAAACAAGACTACATTTGAATGAGAGAGTCTAACTAGACAAATCATGTTGAAAAGACTCGTATTGATTTATGAGGATAATTTTCACTCTTAAAAAACGAGGAATAGGTAACCCGACTATGAAGAATGTCGGGGCCATGAAGTGGAAAATTTGAATTTTTTGAATCATTATTTACAAATTTAAAAATTATTAAAAAAATAAATAAAAATAAACTTGATTTTTTTTTTTAAAGAAAAAAACTTATTTTCCTAAAAGTATCAATAAATTAAATTAATAATGCCGATCACGTTGATTAGGTGGACGTGAAGATGGGCTTAGCTGTAAGATAAACTCTTAATCATGTGCGGTGCGCTCCACCACCTTTATTATACGCTTTTTTATTATTAAACCTATTAAAGTGAATCTAAAATTTTGAGTACATCTGGAACGTGTATTTCGTTAAGGAGAAACAATCCTTACCGTTGATTTTGATGACTATGTTTTGACCCAGTTGTCACTGTCGTGTAGCTTAGCTTTCTTCCAACTTTGATGACGGTAAATTCGTTTCGCATATATATATCAATTTTGAGATTTTGAGATTTTTATAAATTAAAATTTCACTAAACCAATTTTGTAACGTAAGTATTAATGTGAGATCCCACGTTGATTGGAGAAGAAACTCAAAACCTCATCGTTATAAGAGCGTAGAAATCATATTTTAAAATCGTGAGCCTAACAACAATATACAACAAGTCAAAGCTAACAATATCGACTAAGGCTGGACTTAAGCCATTATAAATATTATTAGAGTCAGACACCAGGTAGTGTGTCATGAAGACACTGAGTTCTAAGGGGTGGATGGTAAGATCACACATCGATGGGAAAGAAAAATGAAAAGCCTAATGACGGTCGCTAGCACTCAAGGGAGTGGATTGTAAGATTCCACATCGGTTAGAGAGAAGATTGAATAACCTCACGGCTAGATCCCACGTCGATTCGAGAGAGGATTGAAGAACTTTACAATTAAAATACCACCTCGATGGGAGGGAGATAAGTTTTATTATCTGGATTTAATATAATTGAATTTATTTTTTAACATAATATTTTTACAATAGAATATTTTTTTAGTCATTGTTTTTCTTATCAAACCATATGAAATTGAAATTGAAATTAAATATCAACATTATTGAAATATCGTTAAATAAAAACAAAATAAATAAATAAGGTCAACAATTCAATATTTTTTTTAAACTATTAATGATTGTCTTTTAAGTGTAACATTTTGTTATTATTATTATTATTAAATCAGATATTTACATTAAACAATTATATAAACTAACTGAAATAAAGTGGAAACTTCTTGTAAATTAATTTAACATTAAAAAATTTGGAAGCAGCATTGTTTTCTAAAAGAAAAAAAAAAAAAAATATATATATATATATATATATATATATTATATACCATACGATGGACTTTGGACATGAGATAGTGTGATAGTAAGGACGCTGGACTTTGAGTGAAGTGGATTAGGAAGTCCCATATCGATTGGAGAAGGGAAGAGTGTCAGCTAGTACATGCGTTCTAAAATCTCGAGGGGAAGTTCGAAAGAGAAAGCGAAGACAATATTTGCTAGCAGTGCTTGAAGTGTTACAAATGATATCAAAGACATTGGGTTATGTGTCATCGAGGAGGCTGAGCCCCGAAAGGAGTGGACACGAGGCAGTGTGTCCATAAGGATGCTGGGCCCTCGACATGAGGCACTAGCCATGAGGGGAATGGATTGGTGAGTCCCATATCAATTGAAAAAGGGAACAGAGTGTCAAATGTCAGCGTTTTAAAACCATTGAGGAGAAGCGCAAAAGGAAAAACCAAAAAAATAATATCGGGTAGTTATGGACTTAGACATATATATATATATATATATATATAGTATTAAAAGTCAAAACAAATGAGCCCTGTTGTTCATTATTCGTAGTTTTATAGTTATTGCTCTCGTCTCTTTGTTTGGCAACGGAGAGAAGAGCAATCTGATCGTTCAAGCAATCTCAAGAGAAAAAGAGAGGAAAAAATGAGTTACTACAACCAGCCACCGCCTCCCGTCGGCGTTCCTCCGCCGCAAGGTAACATCTAAACCGATACTCTTACTTTTTCCCTTTCTTACTTCCGGCGCACTTTCTTTGATTTCTAAGGTTCAAATCGAATGGATCTTGCTGTCTTCTTCCACAAAATCTATTTAATCTTTGTTTTCGTTTCGATTTGACCGATTTTGGCTGCGATTCTGTGAATTTCGACGATTTTAGGTTATCCGCCGCAAGGATATCCGCCGAAGGACGCTTATCCACCACCAGGATATCCACCGCAGGGCGGTTATCCTCCTGCTGGTTATCCTCCGCAGGGATATCCGCCTCCGGCGTACGGACCACCTCAGCCTCAACATCCAAACCAAAAGAAAGAAGTTGGATTCGTCGAAGGCTGGTAAGTCTCTGCTTCTCTTTCATTTTACAACCTTAGTTGATGCGATTTCGTTGGCGTTTTCGAGTTGAAATTGAGTCCGTGCGTCTTCGCTGCGGCGAAGTACGGTTGCGGTTACCGATTAGTTGATTAATCCGTCTTCTGCGGCGGAGATTTTCGATTTCGAGTTTCTGTTTTCTTTTTCATATATATATTTTTATTGAATTTAATTTTAGTTTTCGTTTTGAAAAAGAACGCGTTCGACGATTTAATGGCCTTTCAGTCATTTCACATATAAATTATATATATATAATATATATATGTATATATGTGTGTATATATATATATATATATATATTCAAAGTCAAATTTCCAAGCGTCGATTTTCGTTATTAAAAACTCAATTTTGACTAAAATTTGTCATATTATATTAATTTGGATTCCAAAATTTTAATAAATATTGTAATTATTACTATGGGTTCAATTTTCATTAATTTGTCTACTAATTTTAATTTACAAAAACGGTGTAAAAATCTTCATAAACTCTATAATTTGAATAAAATAAAATTTAGCACAAAATAAAGGTTATTGATATTTATGTTTTATAATTTATAAAATGCATATAATAAATATATAATGAACATTTCCGTAATTTGGATTTAAAATAGATTTATTGAGTATTTCTATTTTAATTAGTTCCTAATGAAATCAAATGGTTATTATATATATATATATGAAAATAGGTGCTGAGTTGGTTTCTAAATTTTGCAGTTTGGCTGCTCTTTGTTGTTGCTTTGTCTTGGATGTATGCTTTTGATCAACACCTTCTGCCTGTTTTACTATCATATGGCGTACAGAAATTGAATTTCCATTTGGATTTGGATTTGTATTTGAATTTGAATTTGAATTTGAATTTGAATTTGATCTTTTGTCAGTTTGTAATATCATCTCTCCTTCATACTTCTTCAACCTTGTTCTTCCTTTTCCCTTTTTTCAGTTACTTTGTTGTTAAATTAGGAGTTTGTTAGTTTGTTGGTTTCCTATTCACTCTTTAGTGAGCCTTTAAATCTTTGGTTTTATATTTAAAACCATTTTGAACTTCTAATTTTGTACAGAAATATGTATTGATTTGACTTCATAAGTGGGACTGTCATCCCATAGTATGTTACAAAATGTTTTTCCGAACAAATCATTCTTCATCGCATAAGTTCATTATAAGTCATTTTTAGATGCTTCTTTCGGAAGAGCATGGAAAAGGTTTATAGAATCCATTGTACTACGACCCGAAAGATCATCTCAGTATTGAAAATCGAGACTCAAAATAAGTAAATTAGGTGTTTAACTCGAGCAATCACTCATGACCTAATACTCGTAAAGTTCGGAGACCCATTTGATATTTTTACACCCTTCCCCATTTTGTCTTTTTTTTTTTTTAAATTTATTATCATTTTTTTTTTTGGCTTCTTAAATGAAGCTTCTTAGAATAGAGATTGAAGTTCGAAAGTTTATGAACTCGTCGAATAAGGTAATATATATCAATTATCATTGAATTAGATTTAGTTTTGCTAAATTAAATGAATATGAAATCCTTTATACAAGATTGAATAAACTTTTAAAATGGTGAATTCTTCAAAATTGTATATATATAATATAAACTCTTTTTATTATTATTATTATTTTTTAGCACATGGTATGATTCTTTAATATAATACAACAACAAAGTCATTTTATTTGATAATTGGTTAAAAAAATCATGGTTCTGTGACCTCTTCCGTTATTGTCGAACTAAAAAATTAAAATATTTAAACTATACTATCGACTACTACTTTAAAATATAAAAAATTATGTGTAATGCATACGATACTAACTAACCAATTGATATGTGGATAACATATAAATTACGGGAAGTTATATTCATGAATCTGAGTGGTCTTAATTATGGGTCACTTATCGACCAAGTAAGAAAAGAGTCTGTTAACCCCGACAAAGTAAGAAAATAGTTAAAAAGAGTCTGTTAACTCCGACCAAGTAAGAGAACAGCCTGTCTCCGACTAAGTAAGAAAACAGTCGATTGTTTTCGACTAAATTACTGAATATCAAAATCTACCTAAATTCTGATAAATAATATATAAGATTCTTTTTAAATAATTAAGAAATTGTGAACCCTTTATTTATTCACTTAACCAATTCAAAATTGGCTAAAAAATATTAGGATTAATATTAGGTTGGTTCAACCAAGAATTTATTATTAATTTATTTTTATATTTTTTTTATTCACCAATAACTTTCAAAAAATAAATATAATTATTTAGAAGTTATTTTTATTTTTAATTAAATTTAAATAATATATATTTTTTAAATGGCAAAGCTTATAAAATGTTCGAACTCAACTCACGAGCCCGGTCGGACCGAACCAAGCCAAAAACACCCGATCGGACCGAATCCAAGTACTGAACACGAACCTAATTATATAATGAACAGAGCCAACAGCTGTTCTTTTGCGGAGTGCAGAAGGGTGTCCTGTCAACAGCCGCGAGACAGAGGGGAAAGGGAGAGGAGGAGGAAGGGGTTCGATTACAAACGGTTGTCTCCTCTTGTTTTCTATCTCTTTTAGTCTTCTCTCCATTTTTCGTATTGCTTTTTACTTCTAGATTGATAATATTCTCCGTTTCCTTCATCATCTTAGTCTTCCTTCCCCACCCACTTCCGCTCTGCAGTCCAACAAACGCATCAATTCTCGTTTAATATGCTCAAGTAATCAGGTATGTGTGTATACTTCGATTGCATTTCGTTCAATAATCTGTAGTTATGCGACCGATAAATCTCAGTTGGGTATGGTTGCGGCGGGTGTTTTTCTTAATTCTCGTTCTTTAATGGAAACTGTTCGGACTAATATTGGAGAATTTTGTGGTTTTCTGTGCGGAAATGTTCGTTCTGTTGTGAATTTTGAAGTAATTTTATTAGGGTTCATTTGATTGACCCGTTATTCAGTGCGTACGCTTGCATTTGTGTGAATTTATGCAGTGGTGAAGGTCATATGTTCCTTTTGTTAGTTGTGGTTTAAGAAGAAAGGGGTTCATAGATTAGTTCATGGTGCGTAAAGATGAAATTAGAAACAGTGATGAAATGGTGGATGGAAAATAGAGGGGAGGACAATGAGTCATTATGTAGAAGGGTGGTGGTGGTGGGAGCTTTTAGATCTCTATTTTCCCTTTGGAGAGTATGGTTTTCAAAAATGTTGTTTGAATTGTAATTTACTTATCTTGCAGATTTATTATCACACTGAAAATGGATCAAGAGTTAGCTGATAATGAAAATTTGCTCACTCGTATCCAATCTTTGGAACATGGTATGTCATCTCCCATTTATTGTACATGGTTTTTACATGTTGGCAGTATCACTTCAGTATATTATTTTGAAAATCTCATGTACTTTCGCTTCTTAGTTGCATCTGAAGAAATAGTGCTGAGAAAAAGGGAAATGAAATAGAATTGAAGACTTCTTGAGTTCGTTTATTTTGAAAAGTTCGCTTGTATTTTCGTGTCTTTGTTGCCCCCGAAGAGATGGTACAAACGGAAACAAAATAGAATTAAAGACTTCATTGAGTTCATTTATTATGGAAGTCTCTTGTACTTTTGTATATTAGTTGTACCCAAAGAAATGGTGCTGGAGTAAATGGAAACTAATAGAATTATGCTAAAAGACTCCAGTCGGTCATTAAATATGAAAGATATGATAATGTCCAAGGAGAAGTATTGGAGTTAGCCACACTTCAAATCCCCTAGACCGCTCTTGTTTCTCTCTAATCAGACATTCCATATGATAGGAAAGAATAATTGCCTGCTTTGAAATCAACCTTCACTAAGAAGAAGAGGGAGATAAGTTCTTCCTTTATCATAATCAGTAGCATTCCTTATAGCTGAACTGACACTGAGATCTCTAGAAAATTTCTCTAGATTTTGTAGTAGAGGGATGTCTCCATATGACAAAATTTTGGCCTTCCAACATCATGCATTGAACACACGACTTGTAGTCTAAAACCAAAGACGGGGAAAGCTTTGCTGTTTTAACTTTCCTCCTAAAGCAATCTCCCAAGAGAAGACTAATTTTCTTGGGGATCGCTAGACGACAAGGTGGGTTGATCAAACTGGTAAAAAAAAAAAAAACAGTCTACATGAGACTTTGAAGGTTCAAGAGTCCAAAACTCCTTAAGCTATCTTTTGTCATCAAAATTTGTCACCATGGTATATCGAAAGCAAAAGAAGAATGCAATGTTAGATGATCATTTTCTGCAACTCTGCATTTTATTTATCTCGAGGAGAAGTATGGGTATATTGTAATTTCTTGTGCAACAAATCTTTATCATTATTCTTTGTTTGCACAAAATTTTTAGGCTCACATTTGACAAATTAGAGGCTTCTTCTGCTTATTTGTATGGTTGGATTCGTGTAGCCATCTAGTTTTTTTTGGTGTTTTGAGTTTGGGGTTTTCATATTTTTCTTTGCTGCATTTATTTAATGATGTAATCTTTTCAACGCTGATTTTTACATTCTGCTTTACATCCTGCAGAGCGTGATGAGTTAAGAAAAGATATCGAACAATTATGCATGCAGCAATCTGGACCTGGTTACCTTTCTGTGGCCACTCGAATGCATTTTCAGAGGTACCATAACTTTTCCAAATTCTTTTTCTGTTTTACCCCCACCCACTTTAAAAAGGAAGAGGTAGGCTTCCATGTGTTTAATGCAGACGAAGGTTGGCCTTGTATTTATTGAAATGGTTGAGTTATAACATGATTATTAAACTTTTACGCCCCTATTAGGACAGCTGGGCTGGAACAGGAGATTGAGAACCTGAAAAAGAAGTTTGCTGCTTGTACCAGAGAGAATCACAATCTTCAAGAGGAACTCACAGAAGCCTACAGAATAAAAGTATGATGGTTATTGGTTATTTTTTCATTTAAGTTTGGGACAAACCTCCTTTACAATCTTATATTTCTCTTCAATGTCACCACCAGAGTCAGCTGGCAGATCTGCACAGTTCAGAGGTTGCAAAGGTCTTTTTCTTGATTCCTGCACTCTTGTCTACGTGTGCTACAGAATTGAAACTATCAACACCATAATTAATAAAGAATTTTACAAAAAGAGAGGAGGGAGGAAGGAAGAGGGTTTTTTGTAGTTAAAACTTCACGTGTTAAGCTTTCTATTTCAATGGTACTTGCTTTATGCTCCATCTCAGTTGTAATTATAAATCTTCTTTGTTTCCAGAATTTGGAATCAGAGAAGCAGCTTAAGTTTTTCCAAGGTTGTGTTGCTACTGCTTTTGCTGAACGGGATCATTCCATTATGGAGGTCATGCAAGTCCTCATTATCTAAATTTTGAGGTTTCCTGGTTATAGTTTTCTTCTCCTTCTGATTTAAAATAATTTTGAAATTGCTTTATGATTGGTAACAGGCTGAGAATGCGAAGGAGAAAGAAGAGTCAATGTCGCAAAAGCTTAAAGAGGTCCAAAATAGGTACTACATATTTTTTCATCAGATGTTGGTTGCTGAAAAATCACACTTGAAAAAAATCTACTCTGTCTTGAGTGATAACAAACCATATTAAATAGTTTTCTTTGTCAAAGGCTATCAATTTACATTTAGAATCTCACCATTCTTAACCATGCTTGAAAGATGCTTGGAAGTTGAAACATAAAAGACTGCCCACTACTACAGACAATAAACCGTTACATGAACCTGGAGAATCATCCTAAACAGTGAGAGGGTTGAAGATCTTACAGTAGTTGGACAAATGTTTACTTTTTCTCATTTCACTTGATTTTTTATTATCCTATCATCTTCTCTTTGCAATGTATTTTCTATGTGCTTTGGCTGTATTGGTTGTGAAGCTATGTTAGATAGTGTAGCAAGTTAGCTTCATAATACATATCATGTGTTCCTCTCCTAATTTTTTGCTCTTTTCTTCTTTTTCCTGGTTAGAATAGCTTTTAAACATTATTTATAGAGTTCTAAATGGTGGTGGGCAGCATAATATCTATGAACTGGTGCTTTTTTAGTGTCCATATATTCTATTTGGTTTTATGGGATTGCTACATATTGTTTTCTCACTTCCCTACCTCTTCTTTCTGTTCCTCCCCCACCCAAAATCATGAGTATCTTGTGTTGGTGATGCAGATTAGAAGAGTTGTCTTCTGATTGTCTTAATTTGAGGGAAACTAATGATACACTATGCATTAACCTAGCCAGGCAAGAAGAGTGGAATGAGGTTTCAAAACAGGTACCCACCCTTTCAAATCCCTACCTTCCCATCCTTTCCCTGTTCTGATATTTTGAACATCTTGTTGGCATAAAAAAGTTTATGGTCTCTTGAGCAATTTTAATAGCCTAGTTTGATGGTTATCACTTCAGCTCTACGATGAACCAAAAGTGATCTTAAACCCGCCCATCTAAAATTGTAATTAACTTCTAGATATCTTGCTGTAATATATATATTTTTGTCCTGAGTGTTTCATATTGACGTATTCTTGCCAACCAACTTCGACTAGGCTTTTGATTGGGTTGATTATAAAGCATCTAATGTATTTTTAGTGTTTTATTGAAGAAAAGAGTATTTACTCCCGGGTATAAATCTTGGTACGTCTAAAGAAACAAATCTTTCCTGTCGAACTTCAATCTCCCCTTGCTAATTGTCAGGGTTGTGGTATATATACTATTATATATTTCTGGTTTGTTACTCTCTATTCTTCAACTGGAGAATTTAATATTTTATTTAGGGAGGTCATAGCATAAAGTTCTTCGTTTCTTCCATTTGCACATTTCTAACAGCTATTGTCTCAATTTATTAGGTAATCAATAAGTTTTACGAGATCAGACAGAATTCTCTCGAAGAATTTATGGATACTAGCTGGGACGAAAAATGTCAGTGTCTTTTACACGATCCTCTAGAAATGTGGAGTTTCAATGATTCATCAACCTCTAGATATATAGTAAGTTTTCATCTAGCTATTGGATTGTTCCCAATTTATGATATTATTTATTCTTCACCTAGATTATTTGATATGTGTTTCTTTTCTTTTCTGGGTGATTGATTTTCCGGTTACGGCAATTATCCAGGCAAAGAAATAAATTTTCACCCTAAACTTGGCAAGGTGTGTCAATTAGTGTCAGTATGTGAATTAGCAGAAGAAATTTAAAAATCTCTCACTCACTAATTTCAATAAATATCAAGCTTCACACCAAACTAAACTTGATCATGCACAAATTGTGGCCATTGAATAACTCAAGTTTAAGCAACATTTATCCAAGTTTAAGGCAAAAATTGCCACACTTATCCAAGTTTGATCAAGTGAAATGACTTAATTATGCCTAATTTTTAATTGGAATATGAATAAAAATCTTGTCCAAGCAAGAAGCAGAGTTCTCCCTCTCCTCATTTTGGTGCCTCCTTTGTCTGAAAGATAATAAATCACAGGATCACATCTTCATTCATTGGTACTTTGCTGTTGACATTTGGGTTGAGCTATTTAGTGCTTTCGGGTGGCACAGGGTCCCCCTTCACACAATTGGCTGGCTTCAGATGCTTTTAACAGACTGCCCCTTTAAATTGGACCAATAAATTCTATGATCAAATATTGTTAGAGATGTTTTTTGGATGATTTGGCAAGAAACAATTCAAGAATCTCCCTAGGCGAAATTAGATCTTCGAGTGAAGTCTTAAAGTTGTCTATTTTCAATGCTTTTTATTGGTGAAGTCATTACAGTTTAAATTCCCTAGCTACATATTGTAGAAATCTTTTGTATTCCCTATAAATGGAACCATCTTTTATATTTCTTTGTTTCATTTCATTCATTCAATGAAATTGTTTCATATAAAAAAAATAAGCAGGCATACCTGAGAAATTCAGCTTACATCAGTTGTCCTTTTGTATCCCTTGAAAGTTGAAATAGTTCTCTTTTAGATGTAACTTTAGGTTTGAGGTGCTGATGCAAAATACTTCCGAAACATTATGATTCGTGGTTGGCCTGGCAAATCAAAAAATGCAGGGACTTGGCCAAATGTCAATACAAACAGCTTTCTGTTTTCACCATGGTCGTATAGTCAGAAATAAATTGAAGAATTTTTGAGAATATTAGGGACTCATCATTCTTAGGGACTATATTGTCTTTGATGCTTATGCAGCTTTTGTTCAAAGATGTTGGTAATTACTCTCTGAGATGGGCAAAAGGAAGGGTACAGTATATTTGATTATCTTCACCTATCAGAGTTCAATCAGGAGCGACAACTAAATTACAAGGGTAAAGGAAGTATCCAAAAAATATTTACAATGGTTCAAAACTGACGAGAAATATACAAGATATTTACTATGGTTCAAAAATTGAGAAGGAAAATAAAACAAGAAGTAACCATAGAAAAAGGGAGGAGATACAGCGAGAAATTGGTGAACTGGAAAAAGTAAAAAAGGAAAGAGCTGTCATTTTCAACTTTTGCCAAATAAAGCTTTAGGAATTATATATGCAGTTTGGAATCTTGAAGCAAACCCGATGGAGTAATTTGTTCATATTATTGGAATCTTTTTTATTAAAAATATATGATCTTTATGACTAGCAAATCAAGTTATCCTTGTTGCACGTAATGTTATGTATTCCAACGTTTTGGTTAAATATGGTCTGTGTGTGCAAATGGATTAACTTCTCTTCAGACAGAATTCTTTGGAAGAAGGACTGGAGACAATGAAGAAAACAGTGGATGATCTTCAAAATAAGCTACGGATGGTATGATTGTTTTCTCCAATATTTCAACTTTGCATTTAACTTCATCATGGGTTTAACTGGTAATCAATATATGGGATGTAGGGTGTGGAAATTGAAAAGCATTTAAAGTTGAAGGTGAAAGATTTGGAGTTGAAGCTGGTCAGTTCTTCCACCTTTCGAGTAGCTATAACCTAATTTATACCATAAATCATCTTGTTTACCTCTGATGCAGATTCGCATGGCTGATACGATCAAGAGCAAGATATCAGGGTTTCATCAATACTATTCTCACCACCGAGATCATATATTGAATTTATTGGACAAAGAGAAATCTAATATGAATTCAACAATAGGAGAGATTGAAGAAAAGATTATGCAATATAGCTGGGGAGTTCAGAATTTGAAAGATTCTGAGAAAGAGCTGAAAACTGAAAATGATTCCGAGGATGGCCATTTGATTACCAATGCCAAGGTGGGTATAGTGGATGCAGAAATGAACTTATACATATTATAGGCTTATTCTACGGTCCTTGTTATGTTAACAGTATTATAGGCTTATGGTTTTACATTTGTGGTTGCTCATGAAGTATTCCATTTGTCTATTGATAGTTTATACATATTGTCGTTCAATGAAAATAGTTTCATGAATATCTGAGTGAACTTATTTACTGTGCCTGATTTCTGTGTGGTCTTCTAATGGTATTTTGGTTTTCAAGTGGAATGCGATGTCAAGGCCAGAATTTTCATCTAACCATTCTTCAGTGAAAAGCTTTATGAGCATGTATAGGGTTTGTCATGAAAATGGGGGTAAATTTTTTACGACATTCGAACACATTGCAGATGAAAATTCCTGAGTTACCAGATCCCATTGCTGATGAAAATGTTGAGGCCTCTGAAGCTCTTGCTTTGGCACTGCAAGAAAAGGTACTACTTTATTATTCCTATAGTATTTTTCCGTTCCTCTGTTGTGTTAACTTATCTTGCATGATTCAGCAATAACCACTCCTATATTATCTTAGGGTGTGTTTTTCCTATTTCTCTTCTGATTGTTCTCTGAACTATTGATCTTTTGTTAGGTTTCAGCTCTGTTACTTCTTTCACAACAGGAAGAGAGGCATCTTCTGGAGAGAAATGTCAATGCAGCTCTTCAAAGAAAAACAGAGGAGCTTCAGAGAAACTTACTACAGGTTTTATACCCTTCACCGTGGCTTCAAGATTTCAAGAATATCGTTTTAAAATGCCTCAAAGACAATGTGCATCTCGAATTTATTTGATTCAATGGTTCCAATTTTATTAAAACAATCTTCTATTCAAATACCATAATTCAATACGTTCGCATGCTTTTAACGAATCTTAATCGAACTCATATTTGCCCAATGGATTCAATCTGCTCATGGTAAACTTCATATGGATTCGATGTACTTTTATCTTCAACAAGCGGCCTGGCGTTCAATGCGGGTCGAAGCATATGGTTGCTAGATTGGTTAAATGCTGTTAATAAAAATAGTAATTCACTATTCTTAACAATAGGGCCCAGAGTCTTCTTGGTTCATCATGCTATTGCTTTAGGTTGACATACAACTACATTGATCTTAGTAAAAGGTGCTTTAGATGCATGTGGTTCCAAATTAATGCCGGATAAAAAGGATTTTGGTTATAATTTTCCTTGGGACGGTCCACTATTACTTGGAATGAAAGTGAATCTTGGTTGATCCGATTCTGAAATGATAATGACATTTGATTTCAGGTTACCCATGAAAAAGTTAAAGCACTAATGGAGCTGGCACAAGTAAAGCAAGAACTTCAACTACTTAAAGAGTATGTTTATATCTGCTTATCAACTTGAGACTGATTGTTGTCTTGTGTTTGATTCTCATGACAATATACCAACGTGGATGGCTCCGCGACTGTTTTTTGTATTTTTCCCTCAAAATGATTTCACCATCTTTTAACTAGAGTTAGTAATCTTATGGACATGGATAGTAGTAGTACAATTGACTCGCATGATATGTGCATGTGCAAGGGAAAGTGTTGATTTGAAACGAGGAGCCGGGACTGTGGAAAGGAAACTTGTTAGTCACGAGAGAGAGGGGAAACTAAAAGGCTTGCTGAAGGCTACATATCTGAGACATTGGGTCGGTACGCCAGAAATCAGTGGGAGTGAAGCTGCGGTTTACGTGGATAACGAAGAAAATTACTCTTCTCGAAAGTCTGCTGTGGATTTTGCCAGGTTAGTTAACATTTATGGTGTTCTTGGATTGTGACTCTTGTATGTTTTGGTATTGTATGTGATATCCATTGGCATCGTTAACTTTATTGCAGTTGTATATGTGAAAGGCTCGTCTATTTTGATTTGTTTTCAGAATGAAAATTGAAAATGCTACTCTTAGAGAAAGTATTGAAAGCATGGAGCAACTGACCACTTCAATTCACAGGCTTCGTCTCTCTATTCTGAAGGTTACCTTCATAACTCCTCTTATATAGTTCAAGAACGTTAACTAAGTCTTTTTATAGTTTAATTCTATATAACTGTACTTATATATCCCCTTTAAGTTTTTGATTCGACTCCATATCTAACCTCTCTCCCCCTTCCCTCCCTACCCGCCCCTCCACCTCATTGGAAACTGCAACCATGGCTCCACCCTGTAGTCTATCCTCCCTCTCCACAACAGATTAGATCAATCTCGATAGAAAGGAAAGCATTTTTTTTATTGAAGTAGACCGAACCTCTCGAGGCTCCCATGTTTGTATCTTCGAAGTCTTCCAAAGACAGAGGCTTTCTCCTTATCAATTCATTGGAGTACTCATGCGAACATATGAGACATAAAATTAAAAGTTTAGGGATGTATTGAGATTTTTAAAGTTGCGCTAATAATATTTGCATCAATTGATTTACAAAAAGGACATCAAATCACTTGTTATGGGGCTCAAGTTGCCACACTTATAGCTTCTGTTAATTTGCAGGCCAAAGAGTCTGGTACTTCTGAAGGTCCAACTTCAAGCGTTTTGGGAGCTCTAAAGGGCATAATCAATGAGGCAAAACTCATAAAAACTGCACTTAGCAGCTCTTTACCCATCAGTTGGTCAGCTGAGGTAAATATTGAGTCCAGTGGGGAAACTTTACATGATTCAAATGATGTTTTAGGAGGAGAGTCTAGGCTGGTAAAGATAGATTTCGTTTCTGCTGCCGGTTTTGAGATGGTTGAGCTCCTTGTTTCTGTGGCTGAGTTGTTACTAAAGGATTACAACATGGCTGAAAGTGGTTCTTGAATATAATGATGGCTGGATCATTTGATGATGAAGCAAAGTGGTGTGTGCATTACTGTGTAGGTGTTTCTTTAGAATATATATACAAACTGTAAATGCTGAATGTATCCTTTAGTCTATTGGCTCTGATGGAATTGTGTTCTTCCTAATCATTTGTACATTTGATTAGTTAAACGAAGTTACCTTTGTCAATACAAGGCTTTTTATTCGTTTGTTTGTGCCCTCTTTTTGAAGATTGATGATTGATGGCTCAACGATAAGGTTGGAGGTTTAGATTCTCCTACACCACTTGTCACAAGAAAAAGAGGGTGTTTGATAAAATCATTTATTCCACAAGAAAGAAAGTTTCAATACAAAAAATTAAATCAATCAGACGTTCTAGAGGCAATGAGAGTCTACAAGAGGGTGTGTTTGATAGAGTTTACATTCATGTCTTTCTCTGGTTTTCCGTCCTTTCATTTAAACCCTAACAATTGTCTCTCTACTACCCCAAGTCCATAATAGTCTCCCTCACTAGCTAAAAGGATGATCGAAATTAGTTTAAATGGAAGAAAAAAATATGTTGATAAATGAATTCCAATTTGTTGACTATTACTTATTAAATCTGGCTCTAGAATCTGGTTTGATCTTATAGTCCAAATAATCCCATACCATGACGTATCTACAATAGTAGTCATTAGTGAAACAAAAATACTTGGATTGTAAGACATTTGTTCTAACCCAACTAAGTCATTCGTGTGAAATTCAGAACAAGTCATCGGACTTCTAAACTTTATCTAATACATTTCTAAACTTTCAATTTTGGGTCCAACAGGTCCTCCTTTACCTATATAAATTTATAAAAAAAGTATTAGCGGGACTCCTCGTACATGGTGAATAACCAAATTCCAATTGAAATGAAATCTTTCTTTAGTATAAAGCATTTAAAAACGTATAAAAGTTTAAGAAAGGCTTTAAATGATATTGAATGATATAATAGTATTTGACCGCTATACATTACTAACATTAGAAAATGGAATAATCGGGAATCTCGAGTAACTGGCCAAGCCGCTAAAGTAGCTAAAGTNGTGCTATAGGATACGATTGATTAGCCGATGTTTCAAAATTTAAAGTTGGTTCATTAGAACCATATAAACCGATACCCAGAACTCCCATTAACAAAAAAATGGAACCTCCCGCAGTGTACAAAATAAACTTTGTAGCTGAATACAACCGTTTCTTTCCTCCCCACATCGATAGAAGTAGATAAACGGGAATTAATTCTAACTCCCACATGATAAAAAATAGTAAAAGGTCTCGAGCAGAAAATGATCCTATTTGACCGCTATACATTGCTAACATTAGAAAATGGAATAATCGGGAATCTCGAGTAACTGGCCAAGCCGCTAAAGTAGCTAAAGTGGTGATAAACCCCGTCAGTAAAATGGGTCCTATGGAAAGTCCATCGATTCCCAATCTCCAGTAAAAATCCAAAAAGGGGATCCATTTATAATCGTTTGTCAGTTGGATTAATGTAATCTTTAGAATAAAGCATTTAAAAACCTATAAAAGTTTAAGAAAGGCTTTAAATGATATTGAATGATATAAACAATCTGTTGAAATGTTCAAGAAAACATCAACAAACTGCCTTCCTCCAGAGAATACAGAAGAATCCAGTTTACAGAGAAATGGAAAAGCAACAAAATTGAAGACTTTTTAAACATTTTTGGTTTGTTTTTTGTTTGAAGGAAACAATGTGAGTTGGAATAAGAAAAGAGGCTAAGATTCAGCTGCAATCTCCATTGGATTATTAGCATCTAGAGTATTGATTGGCACTGAATTCTCCTTTTGGCGCTCAGTTTCAAGCTGGCTGTAGTTTCCCTTCTCCTTGAACAGTTGAATGTGATGGTGCTTGCAGTACAGCTTCCCCTCATGTGCTATGTAGTTTGATGGGCTTATTGTGCACCCTCCATGGCTACATTTGAAGCAGCTCTTGTGGTACGCCGTCCCGTTTACCGTTACCTACTCAACAACGAGATGAATTTAGTATTACACAACTTCTGACCCTTGGTTGACACGACTAGGCACTTCTGACCATTAGATATCGAAAACAGAGTTCGTGCGTCGTAGTACCTTTTCAATGGGATAAACCGTCTTGATGCAGCCTGCACATTTATCTCTAGTGCCACCAAACATGGAGGAGACTGACTTTGCATTCTGTGGATTGCAATTCATTAGAGTATTTGGAGTCTCGTTTGATAATAATTTTGTAAATTGGTACAAACAAAATATTACCTCATTTTCAGTGGGCTTTTCAGGTTTCGTGATTTTTGGAGTTCCTGATAAGAACGATCGATCAAAGCGTTATAACGAACAATTGCAATATAAACCCTCGTAGATCGTATAATTTTGCAAGTTTAAGGTGTGATTAGCAAATAATAAGGTTTAGAAAATTGCCTTCAAAGCTCTTGTCAAGGCTGCCAGTTCTCTTGAAGAGTTGATCATAGTGAGGCCTGCAATACAGCACTCCCTCAAAGGAACAATAGTTGCTCAGCTGCAAAACCAAAACACGGTATTAGAATACCCGATCATTGAAAGCAATAACTTTTTCTTGAGATCCCGAGATAAGACGTATATCTCAACTCCACTCAACCCATAGCCATCAAAATCGAAGCCAAGTTTTAAGAACTAAAAAGAGTTTTCCAAAAACATGTTCTTGTTCGAGATTCTCGAGATGAGACATACTCAACCCGTAGTCATTTTAAAACCAAATTTCGAAACGGGTTTCGTGTTTTCAAAGCCTTAAAAACAAAAAACGAACAATTTTTCGAAAAGAATGACCTTGAGGGTGCCTTTACAATGGTAGCATCTGAAGCAAGGCTTATGGAAGATCCTATTATCAGCGGTAAGCTTATCAACAAGATAAACCGTCTTGTCACAGGCCATGCACCTCTGTGTGGTTCCTACAAAGCTGGCCATCCCTAGCTTTTCTTTGTATAATAAGCCTCACTGGTTCGCCGCCGCACGTACCGCCCCTTCAAAAATGAACAATCCACCGACCGACTGACTGAACCGAACCAAACCGAATCAAAGACGACGGGGACGGGGCCGGGGCCGGAAAGCGTGGCTTATTGCACGTTATTTGCTTGGTTGCTGTTGTGGGCAATGCAGCTCCCTTATTATGTTGCTTGTGCTGTGTCTCAATTGCATGCCTCTCAATAAATAATGAGCTTACACCAAAAATCAAGTGGTTCAGATTATTTCAATGCTCATTTAACGATAAACCAATGGATTTAATTACCCAAATTAGCAACTAATTAAATCATAATCTCAACTAAAATTTCATTATGATCTTAATCTGTTTCAACAATTCTTGGGCCAATTTTACTTATTTTTAATTTGATTTAATAATTTTTTTTTTGTTTGTAATTAATGGAATTATTTTTAATTTATTTATTTTATAAATACTAAAATTAGGGCCGTGTGAGTTTTAAAATAGTATTTTCTATTAATTTGATCATTATTAGGATCTCAAATATTTTTATTAATAAATTTTCGATAATAACAAACAATTTCAAATTATTACATGAAGAAATAATATTAAATATTTATTAAATGTATTATAAACAGTGCACCAATGGGCATTTGGTCTAGTGGTATGATTCTCGCTTAGGGTGCGAGAGGTCCCGAGTTCAATTCTCGGAATGCCCCAAATTTTTTATTTACATCTACTACGAAGAAGTTTGTATACCTTATAAAGATCATATTTCAAAACGGGTATTTGGTTTAATGGTATGATTCTAGAAATACTCTTACCATCTTTTGAAGACGGCATAAACAAGTGAAGAATGATCTCATTTTGAGTCTAAAAGTTTAGTCAAATGAGTCTGAAGTAAATAAAAATAATTTGAGATAAAAACATAATCAATAAAATTGGACAAAAAAAGTAGCTGAACATTTGATTTAGTGGTATGATTATTGCTTTGAGTGCGAGAGGTTTCGAGTTCAATTTTTAGAATGCTCCAAACAAAATTAGGTCAATTTGTTGTATGATTCTTGCTTTGGGTGCGAGAGGTCCCGAATTTTATTTTCGGAATGCCCCATACTTTTTTATTATTTTCGTATCAAAATTCCCTCTTAATGATTCAAATAGATCAAGCCCATCCATGTACTTTCCTTCTTTCAAAATTCTTTTTATATCATAAGAAAACAAATTATTATATAATTAGGTAAAAGGCCTCCACATCAGCTATATTTTGTCTAATTATATACCATAAAAAAACGAATTTAAAATAATAGGTAAAGGTCTGATATCATCAAAAGCATTTGGTCAAGTTGTATCATTCTTGCTTCTAGTGCGAGAGGTCTCAAGCTCGATTCTTGAAATGTCCCATATTTTTATTTTTTTTAGTATTTCCATTTCTGAAAATCTCTAATCAACTAGAAGCACTCGCTATTACAAGATATTAATTATAGTCATTATCGTCTGCGGTGGTAAAGTTTAAGGTGACAACAAAAGCATACAAATCAGCCTTGTCAGATTAATAATATATCATTCAAGCTAATATATATATATATATATTTCAACCTAGTTAGGGATGAGCTCACTTCTAAACCATGTTAATACTAAAATCTTCGAAAGAGCCCATTGCTATTATACAATTCACTAGATTCAAAAGAGTTTTCAAAGAGCTACCAACAGAAATTCAATGAGTTCTAATGTAACAACTTAAGTCTAGCTTTGAGCTTTCCCTCCCGGTTTAAAACGCGTCTACTAGGAAGAGGTTTCCACACTCTTATAAGGAATGTTTCGTTCCCCTCTCCAATTGATATCCACTTCCTTGGCGGCCCTAGTGTCCTCGTTGGCATGCCTGGAAACTGGCTCTGATACCATTTGTAACAGTCCAAGTCCACCGCTAAGAGATATTATCCTCTTTGGACTTTCCATCAAAATTTAAAACGCAGGTACTAGGGAGAGATTTTCACACCCTTATATAAGTAATGTTTTGTTCTCTTCTCCCTTTCAAGTTCTCTTTCAAAATCATCTCAAGTTCTCTATATACAAACACAGATCTCTGACGTTGATATTTCTAATATCCATTTTCATCGGAATCTATGAATATCCTCTCCTATCATAACATAATTCCCAAGAAAGCAGCAAGTGAATATGAAGTATGGGACAATATGTAGTAAAACCTAGAAAGGGAGAAAGAGGTAAGCACAAAACCATTCTTTTTCTTAACTACTAATATATCTATACATTAAGGAACCTGATCTACTATAACTAATTATAGTCCAATTACACCTTGAGTTAGTTCAAGATCTAAAATGAATAAAATTTCCATATATGCATTTGGATATCATCCATGTCAACAAACATACAAGAGGTTGTTCTGAATAACAAGTTCCAGGATGTCAGATGGAGATATAAAAGGAATATAAATAATGGGCTTCTTAGAAAACCGAAACTTCAAAGAATATCTATAATAATAAGGCGTCTAGAATTATACTAATAAACAACTGACAAGTACATCCTCAAAAAAGGGCATTTGGTCTAGTGGTATGATTCTCGCTTTGGGTGCGAGAGGTCCCGAGTTCGATTCTCGGAATGCCCCCAATTAGTTTTGTTCCCAAAAAAAAATAATATTTTATCACTATCTTTGACTCTATGGCAAATGGGTTTGGTAAATATGAAAATTTGATAGCTTTCACTATCCCTACTTACCACAAAAACATTCAAGAAAGCAGCCAGAAAGGCCACTATATTTGGATTACAGAAGATGAAGCGGTGAAAGTCAACCTAAATGCCTGCACATGTCAACATGAATCTCTTTTCAGGTCAAAGAAATTAGACCCCCCCCCNCCCCCATCTGCAACAACTTCCTAATATATGTTGCTTCATACAACAAAATGTTGCAAAGAATCACAACGGATCAGTTCATGATCTAAAATGAATAAAAATCATCCATTGCACATGGGTATCAATTATGTGTGTGTGTGTGTTTTTTACATATATACTTACTATTAAACAATCAATTGGTCTGAATAACCATTTCCAACGTACGTAAGCTGGCAGAACATATGCAATTAAAGTACTAACAATAATGTATTCAAATGATGAAATAAAACATACGCAAAATGTTAAATTATTGCCCTACGGCTTGATTGAAAATTGAAAACACAAATACTTAAGAAAGAAACACTGTTAGATGTAATCCATCTCCAATCAATCTTTATTTTCTTGAGACAACAAGATGTATGTGTGCACCCGCATGTGTAATGATAGAGAAAAGGAGAGAGAACTGCTCATACAAATACAGAAAAATCCATTAGTATAGTTCTCTTCTCCCTCTACATCATCATTGGGCATTTGTTTGAACGATTCTCGCTTGTTCCAGAGGTCCCAAAATCAATTCTCGGAATGCCCCACTTCAACTAGTTATTTTGTCAATCTTTCTACTTAATGCAATCGACTTATTACCATTATTGTTGGTCATAGTAGTTTTAGCATTATGAAATATGAAAAATTAGATTTGAAGATTCTGACCTAAAACGAACCTAGTCCCAAGATTCCACATAAAATAAAGGGTAAGCAAACAAACATTTGAATTTACATTAGATAGAGGAAAAATAGTTCAAACCTATAATAACCTCAGTCCAACTCCTGCTTACCAGGAAGAAGCAAAAGGCAGTGGATCTAGTCTTCTGATATTACTTCGCATGCAAAAGGGCCAGTGTACAGGTTCTGAAAGCTACAGTTCGGATGCCATTGTGATAGTTTTGAGCACCCTCCATTGCTCTAAATTACACTAGGAAGAGGGTGAGGGAGATGGGTCGAGGTAGTTACAGAGAGTAGGGAGTAACTGTGTAGCTAGGGTCCTTTACTGTTAATCTTCTGATAACTTATTACATGGGGGTAGTACGCTAAGTACATGAGAGAGTTAAGTAGCTACGATGTAAGTCGGTAAAGGCACTTCAGTAGTTTGCTGAGTTAGATGAAATGAGATCTCTCTATTCATCAACCACTACTCCACTTTTAGTTTTAGTGGGAAGATGATTCTATGTCTATGTACATTGAGGCTTTACAAATTTTATTTTGTGGTAAGAAATCAAGAATTGGCAAGAGCCTTTTGTTAGAAGTTCAGGACTTGTCTGTGACAAGACAATCTAGAGGAAAAAAAACCTTGATTGTGTATAGTTTTCTCCTTCATCCTCTAGTAATTTCAACTTTGCAATGAAACTTGCAGAGTAAAAAAAAACAGAACATAACCCACCTCAAAAGGGTGAATAATTATTGCAGAACCACAATTTGAGTCAGCTTAAGGTTTAAACTGCCAAAATAGTCGATATTACTGCACGTGGATTTCATTTCTGATAACTTTCCTTATATGCAATCCAGTGAGTTATTCAAATACTAGTGCACAGTGCAAGATAGATTGCATAGAGAACTGACAATAAGGTAATTTTATATAAGGATAAGGTTAAATTAGAAAAAAAGAAAGAAGATATAATTAAGTTTGCAGAATATGTTAATAAAAATCCAACAAGAGTACTAAAGGGATATGGACAATGGCATGATTCTCATTTTGGGCGATAGAGGTTCCAAGTTCGATTCTAGGAATGCCCCAATCAATATTGGAACATTTCTACAACATATCCTGATATTTTCTAAATAATGCAACAATAAAAAAATAAAAAAACTGGTGTTCATGTCAATCTAAGTTGTATTGATGGTTACATTGAATTAACAGCTCATTCACCAAATGTTGGCCCAACCTAGTCGCATCCTAATATTGAATTAACACTTCTCCTTTTAGGACTTTAATGAAAAATAGGAATAGAAATATCATTTGACCCAAAAAGAAATGAAGAGAGATTGAGCAACGGAGCCTGGTAACATTGTCTAAGTACTCAAATGTTCCATCACTATCAAACATTAGCCAAGCAAACAATAACTTGTTTTGTTAGTGAAACGTATGCTAATACAAGATCGATGACTACTCAATAACTTTTTACACGTCAATGCATAAAGTTGTTAACCCAAAATATCATCTAAATAAAGACATTGCAGGTGGAAAACCGATCATTAAATTTGAACATGCAGCATCTACTGCCAGAGGCTAAATCGCAACCATGGTAGGAAAAGCAATCCAAGAATTGAAGAGAAACAACAACTCTCACCTAGGAGCATGTTCTAAATCTCCCTACAAGTTATCCAATAAACTGCACAATTTTTGAATGTTCTAAATCGCAACCATGGCAGGAAAAGCAATCCAAGAATTGAAGAGAAACAACAACTCTCACCTAGGAGCATGCTCTATATCTCCCTACAAGTTATCAAATAAACTGCACAATTTTTATATCTAACAAAATCGACAAACAAAAAACATAGAAGACGAAGACTACGAAATAAACCGCAAAAGAGAAAAAGAAACAGCAAGTAATTTGTGCTGTTAATTTCTAACCTCGAAATACACCTCAAATCAGCTTCCACCATCGCATCTGCAACGAAATAGCCAATTTCGCTCTATTAGCAGTTCCATTCGTATTGACAAAAGATGAATAAGAATCTCCAGCCGAAATAACTGCATGCCGAATCTCGAATCAAAAATCATAGTGATCGTTCCAAGTTCGTGCAAAGCAAGTAAAAAAAATACAGAAAAGAAAGGAAACGAATGAACAGTTCAAGCGGTTTCATATATGCTACGAATTTTCTAAGTCTCTAACCTTGAGAGATACACGCCGTATCAGCTTTCGCCATTGCAGTAGCTATTTTAGCAGTTCGACATGAACCGATTCTCTTAGAGTGCCAGCAAAAAGAAGAAGAAGAACAGGAAATCTCCGCCTCGATGTCTTAATTTGTGGTTCATAGAGAGCATAAATTATCGGTTGGTGACATTTTTTCCGTCACGTTGAAATTTGAAACGGAAAGAATTTTCCATCATTTTCGCGGCAGCCAAACAAAGCGAGACACTCGGATGCGCGCGTTTTTCTTAATAGATTATAATTTTATTAGAAAAGAAGTTAGTTGACACGTGTGCTGCAAGAAACGTTCCACGCCCCCTTTAAAATAGTCATCTAACACATTTAAAGCCCTCCCAAATTCAAAGGTTGATTTTATTAATCCATCCATTTTGGGGTACAACGTCCAATGGATGGGATTTTCGGATTTCACAATCTACCCACTTTAAGAGTCAGCGGGATCCATTTTGGGGTCCAACGTCTAATGGATGGAATTTTCGAATTTCACAATCTATCCACTTTGGGAGTTAGTGGGGTCTAATCGATGAGATTTTCAAATTTCACAATCTACCCACTTTGGGAGTTAGTGGGGTCCAATCGATGAGATTTTCAAATTTCACAATCTACCCACTTTGTGAGTCAGCCGGGTCCAATCGATGGGATTTTCAAATTTCACAATCTACCCACTTTGGGAGTCAGCGGGGTCCAATCGATGGGATTTTCAAATTTCACAATCTACCCACTTTGTGAGTCAGCGGGGTCCAATCGATGGGATTTTCAAATTTCACAATCTACCCACTTTGGGAGTCAGCGGGGTCCAATCGATGAGATTTTCGGATTTCACAATCTACCCACTTTGAGAGTCAGCAGGATCTCACAATTCATCCATTTTGGGGCCCAACGTCCAATCGATGGAGATCTCTAGCACACTACTTAGCATCTGGCTTTGACTTTTCGGAAAAATTACCACATCCTTACGAAGAATGTTTCCAACCAACATGGGTTCTCCAACCAAAACTTGTTAAAATTATGAGCAAGATCTAAATCTTAATATCAAATTTTTTTTTTAGTTGGACACGAAGGCCATTTATGCCTTGAAACACAAAAGTACCCTCCAATTTCTGTTACCCTTTAGGGAAAAAACTGACACAAACTTTTGTAGGGTCTCGATCTTACCACAAGACAGGTAACAAGAGTAAATGAACAAACTATTTTTCAATTTTCTAAAATGAAAAGATTTTTTTTCTCATACGTTTTCCGTCTTTTAGCTCACAAGGTTTCTTTCTCGTGGTAGCTTCTCGAAAATTTATCTACATTAATGACTCGTATATATTCTTACTATCTCAAGTTGACTTACCACATAAACGCTATAAAACAGAAAACGGAGGTCTCGGTTCAATGTAATCCTGTCAATTCTGGACATGGCCTGCTAAGTGAGCCATTTTAATGGATTTTCAACACAATGGTCCAAGTAACAGACATAGAATCATACACAAAAGAGAAAAAAATGTTTAGATCACAATCCAGATAGCAAGAATCAAAATCAACCACTGTTTCTCCCCCTTTTCCTCCCACCAACAAGAGAATCAGAGCCCTAATCAAATACAAATCTAAACCAATGTACATGTAGGTATGTGCGAAGGTATAAAAACACAAAACAGGACAGCGAAGTTGGATATCAGCAAAGCCTCAGATGGACAACTGACATATTTGCCAAATACAAATATGCCTCCGACAATTAGACGTTGGAAGCTGAAATTGCACACACTCCTGCAGGCAGCTCAGTTTTTCGACTTCGAATGCTTTACAAGCCAATCGATAACAGTGTCGATATTCGTCGAGTTCTTGCAGGAAATCATAAAGCAACAGACTTCTCTATCAGTTATAGACTTGAGTCCCCTGCAAGTTTGAAGACCCATCTTTAAAAACCACAAGGAGAGATTGGTTGGGAGAAAGTCCCACATTGACTAATTTAGGGAATTATCATGAGTTTATAAGTAAAGAATAAATCTCTATTGGTATAAGGCCTTTTGGGGAAGCCCACAGCAAAGTCACGAGACTTTATATTCAAAGTGGACAATATCATACCATTGTGGAGATCCGTGATTCCTAACATAGTATCAGAGTCATGACCTAGACTTAGCTATGTCAATAGAATCCTAAAATGAACAAAGAATTGCGAGCCTCGAAAGTGTAGTCAAAAGTGACTAAGGTATCGAACAAAGGGTGTTCTTTGTTTGAGGGCTCTAGAGAAGGAGTTGAGCCTTCATTAATGGGAGGTTGCTCGAGGGTTCTATGTTGTACTTTGTTCGAGGGGAGGATTGTTGGGAAGGAGTCTCACATTGGCTAATTTAGAAAATGATCATGGGTTTATAAGTAAGGAATACATCAACATTGGTACGAGGCCTTTTGGGGAAGCCCAAAGCAAAACCATGAGAGTTTATGCTCAAAGTGACAATATCGTACCATTGTGGAGATCCATAATTCCTAACCGACTAACCCCTACAAACTACTTATAAACGCATACTTTTAACCATTTTACTTTTTGAACTCGGTAGCTAGCAAGCATGGAGGTTGATATTGACGTGGGGATCATGCAACACTAATGCAAAACAGTTCATCATTATTAGTTCATGATTCTTTAGATTCAACTTACATTCGTTCTGTGAGATCCTGCTTGGACAGAGCTCCCTGTTTGTCAATCTTGTTACCCAATACCAGCAATGGGATCCCATTGAGTGAAGGCTTACTCAACAAGTCATGAAGTTCACTTTTTGAGACGGACAAATTCTCGTAATCAGCAGCATCCACAACATAACTGCAAGACGAGAAGTCAGTACTAGTGACAGTTTTAACACAAAATAAAGTGAGTAACAAATCAAGCATTTGAATGATTAATTTATCAACTTTTATAGCATTGGATATCGAAATTTTCGAGCACTTTAAAGTTGTACGAGTTGAGGAAACAAAATGCCATATATGGTTGGAAAGAGCTTAACGGATTCCATTCACCCATGATTGGGAACTAATGATTGATTCTGTTTAAAGATTTTGAATTTTCTCATAACAATCAAATTATATCCGGTCTTGTTTCTACTTTTCCGGCTATTCTAGACACAATTTTAAAATATTGGATCTTCCGTTATTTAAATCGTGTATCTCCTTGATGAATGTCAGAAATAAGAAACCTCAACAAGTATAGGAAACATACACAATTGCAGAGACTGCACGACAATATCTTTCCCACATACTACGGAATCTGGGTTGGCCTCCAAGATCCCAAAGCTTTATTGTTACATTTCCTTTTGTCACCTTCTTCATGTTAAATCCTACCTGCAGATGAAAGGATGCGGTATAGAATAAGGTAACAGAACAAACTAAAAATTGGTTCCAATACAGAAGAACTGATACACTTAAATTCCTTTAAGAAAAAATTACGCACCGTTGGGATCATGTCTTCACTGTATCCACCCGTCTGCAAATTACATCCAGAAAGAAAAAAATGGGCCATCAGCAGTAGCCAATATAAGCAAGTAAATAACCAAGTTTTAACATACGGTTAGGTATAATTACTTACTGCAATAACATTTACAAGTGATGTTTTTCCAGCATTCTGAAGCCCAATCAGAGATAACTCCATCTCTTGCTTGAAAAAGAGACTGCAATAGGAAAAATAATAAAAATGTATCTCAACCGAGAGAGATACGTTGTAACAGCCCAAGCCCACCGGTAGCAGATATTATCTTCTTTGGACTTTCCCTTCCGGATTTCCACTCAAGGTTTTAAAACCAGCCTGCTAGGGAGAGGTTTCCACACCCTTATAAAGAATGTTTCGTTCCCCTCTCCAACCAATGTGGGATCTCACTATCCATCCCCTTTGGGTGGCAAGCGTCCTCACGGTACACCGTTCGATGTCAGGCTCTGATACCATTTGTAATCGCTCAAGTCCACCGCTAGCAGATATTGTCATTTTTGGGGTTTCCCTTCTGGGCTTCCCCTCAAGGTTTTAAAATGCGTTTGTTAGTGAAGATTTCCACACTCTTGTAAGAAATGTTTCGTACCCCTCTTCAACTAACGTAGGATCTCACATATGCATCACATGAAGAATCAAAAAGGAAACATTACTCATCTCCCTTTTCCTTATCATCTCATCTAATCAAATTGTTTATCATAACCAACAAAAGTAATTCAATAATCACCACAATTCGATCTTCTTTTTTTTTCTCATTAAAGAAATTTCCTTCTAACAAAAAAAATTTGAAAATACCACCATTGCAAACACAACTTGACCAGGTCATTCATTGTTCTAAACTGCACCCTCCAAAATAACTACAATCTTTTTGAGGTCATAATCAGAACTAAAGAAGTAGGCCCCTAAACCCTCAACGTTGTATCAATTGGAATATAGAGGAAATGCCATTACCACTGCATGAAACAACCTAAATCTTGAGCACACAAAACCTATTGCAAATTGGAAGGCCGCCAACCTAATTTTCTCGTTCATAATCAAAACCTAATCGTCACCTCCCTGATTAGCCATGTTCTTGCAAAACGTAATCAAAACGTGTCCTAACGACACGAACACTGCAGCACGAGTTATTTTTTGAATATTAAACTTGAAAGTTCTAAAAAATGAAACGAGTAACGGATGGACGAAGTAAATGGCCATCATCTATTTAATTAATCAATTCATCAGTTACGGAATATAGTTAATTAGCATCTATCATCTAAATTGACCAAAATAAGTTGCGCCATCGCCCATTAATAATCTTAAAGTTCCTTACAACGGAGACGTTTCATTAGAAACCAGAGGATAAATTTTCAATTCCGTTCATCAAATTTTCAGGGAAATCTCAAACATCAAGCTCATTTCCTACATTAGCTAATCATAATCAAACGAATATTATCAATTGTGTATAACTTTCAGATAGTATAAAGGATTTCAGAGGAACAAACCAACCGATGATTCCACAAACTTCCTCTCGTCAATCCTAAAAATACAACGGTAAATCCAAAGAAGAAGAAGCGATAAGAAAGAAAGAACACATACCTTCTAAGCCAATTGAGAAAAGCTTCCCACAAACCCATAGCGAACCAAAATGCTCAAGAGACAAAAACTTCTTCTCCTTCTTCCGATTATCCTCCTGTGTTCTTCGTTCTAGGGCTTCGATCAACTTACAAAAATCAATGTAGGAGAGAGCTTCGCCTTTCTTCCGCCTTCTTCGCTGTAGATCAGAAAGGCAATTTGGCCATCTCTTTTTCAAGCTCAAGAGAGAGAAAGAGAGCGAAAAAGGGAAGAAGGATAAATAGATGAATTTCGAATTGTAATAGAATGTTCACGCGCGCGCCTAATGAAGAGAGTGGTGCGCGTCAGCAACATGTATTGGCTTTTGTAAATACATCGCGAGATTTCATTGGTGCGTGACATTCACGCGCTTAGGTTGAGAATGAAGGTTAGGTTTCATTTTGGGTTGGTTAAAAACGACGCAGTTTTTAAAAGCTTAAAATGACAAAAGACAGGTGGATGGTGTCGAGTGGTATAAAATTAAAAAATTGTATTTGTGAGGTTATAGTTTTGTTATTATATTAATAATGGCTCTAATATCTCTGTGAACCATCGATGTTACAATACTTCTAATCGAGACGTGTATCTTAGATTAAGAGATTAACTATTCAAATCTCGATCTCCAAATGTTATGTTCGTCTAATAGCAAGTTATTAATGAAAACTGTGGTTGAGAAGAGATATCTTAAACAAATATTAATGTATATCTCGTCAAACCCTAGTACTGAACCATCACATTCGGTTTGAACAACGAATGATAATAATTTTAGTTTCACGAAAACGAAGGCTTGTTTGATAGGTATTTAGTTTCTTTGTTATGTTGTTAGGATCTTTATGCTCGAGTTTGGGTCGTAAGGTCTTGGACATATGGCTACATAATTTCTTTGGACCTCATTTTAGTCACAAATCTCTAGTTTAATATAGTAAGTGTAACCGTCCAAGCTCACTGCTGACAGATATTGACCTTTTTAGCCTGTTACGTATCGTCGTCAACCTCACAATTTTAAAACGTTGTCTGTTAGGGAGAGATTTTCACATCCTTATAAGTAATGATTCGTTCTTCCCCTCCAACTAATATGGGATCTCACAATCCACCACCTTGGGTGCAAGCTTCCTCGCTGGCACATTGCCCAGTGTTTGGCTCTGATATTATTTATAGTAGCTTGTTAACAAATATTGAAAACTAAGATGGTGTTTGGATAACTATTTTTGTTCCCCTCTCTAGGGGATGTGGGATCTCCCAGTAAGAGACAAAAATGAGAAATAAGATTTTCGGGATGTTATAATGACACTCGCTAGAGAACAATATTTTGTAAAATTGTGTAACGATTCAAGCACACCGCTAGCAGATATTTTCGTCTTTGGGCTTTCCCTTTCGGGTTTCCCCTCAAGACTTTAAAACGCGTCTGCTAGAGAGAGGTCTTCACACCTCTTATAAATGATGTTTCATTCTCCTTCCCAACCTATGTGGGATATCACAATCTACCCCCTTCAGGGCCCAGTATTCTCGTTGGCACTCATTTCTTTCTCCAATTGATGTGGGACCCCCACCAAATCCACCCGCTTGGGTGCCCAGTGTCCTTGCTAGCATATCGCCTCGTGTTTACCCCTTTGGGGAACAGCCTCTTCGCTGGCACATCACCTGGTGTCTGGCTCTGATACCATTTGTAATGGCCTAAGCCCACTGCTAGCAGATATTGTTCTCTTTGGGTTTTCCCTTTCGAGCTTCCCCTCAAGGTTTTAAAATGCGTTTGCTAAGGAGAGGTTTTCACACCCCTTATAAATGGTGTTTCATTCTTCATTCTCCTCCCCAACTGATGTGGGATATCACAATCCACCCCCTTCAAGGCCTAGTGTTCTCGCTGGCACTCGTTCCTTTCTCAATCGATGTGGGACCCCCACCAAATCCACCCTTTGGGTGTCCAGCGTCCTTGCTGGCACACCGCCTCGTGCCTACCCCCTTCGGGGAATAGCCTCTTCGCTAGCACATCACCCGATGTCTAGCTCTGATACCATTTGTAACAACCTAAGCCCACTGCTATTAGATATTGTTCTCTTTGGGCTTTCCCTTTCGAGCTTCTCCTCAAGGATTTAAAACACGTCTAAGAAGAGGTTTCCACACCCCTTATAAATGATGTTTCGTTCTCCACCCTAACCGATATGGGATATCACAATTCACCCCCCTTCAAGGCCCAATGTTCTCGCTGGCACTCGTTCCTTTCTCCAATCGATGTGGGACTCCCACCAAATCCACTCCCTTGGGTGCCCAACGTTCTTCCTGGCACACCACCTCATGTCTACTCCCTTCGGGAAACAGCCTCTTCGCTGCACATCACCCTGTGTCTGCCTCTGATACAATTTGTAACAGTCTAAGCTCACTGCTAACAGATATTGTCCTCTTTGACTTTCCCTTTCGAGCTTCCTCTCAAAGCTTTAAAACGCATCTGCTAGGGAAAGGTTTCCACACCTCTATAAAGAATGTTTCGTTCTCCCCAACCAACCTGAGATATCACAAATTGTCTTCAAAGTCAATGCCAAAATTTGAAAACTAAGACTTCTTATTTCAAAACAACTTGGTTATTACAAGAACTTCCATACAAGCCCAAGCTATCCAAATCATTCAAATCAATGTCAAATTTATTTGAGGAAAAAATGAAAATGGCCTTTAACCAATTGAGATTTACAAAAATTTAGTGACGAAGAGATCTGATATATTAAATCTTTATTTTCTTTTATCCTATTTTTCTTTTTAGAAATCACGGCCCATTATAGTTAGATCTTCATTAAATCATTACTATGGTTTAGCTTTGAATTAGAAACTAAATGTCAATCATTTATACTAAATCACATCAAATTAGTAATATTAGATTAAATTTATATGAGTAGTCAAATAAACAGATTAAAAATAAAATAGCCAAGAAAATTTATGAGAAACACGGAGATAATGAAAGATTTGGAAACGGAGGGAGAAATAACTTGAAATAACTCTATTAACATTTTTTTTATAAACACTAACCACATCCAATAAGATTTTTAATAAAATATAATTATAGATATATAACATTTCAAGAATTTTAGCAATTGACCAAAGTAAATTAGAGAAATAATTTTGTAGAAGTTCGAACTTGAAACTGATGTTATTGGCTCATATAGGTTGACTTGGATTTTAATGGGCGGAATCGAACTTTCATTAAGGATAACTTTGCAACATCAGCCTAAGCTAATCACGTAAGTGGCCTTACTATCGACATGGTTATATTTGATGTTGACACGTGCAGACACGTGTCATATATATTGATATGTGTGAATTGTTTGTGAATCGATATGCTTATGATATGTTATGTATATGTTATAATATGTGAATTGTATGATAATAATCACGATACGATGTGTTCAATGATATGTTTGAGATAGGATATGAGAAGGATGCACAAAACGAAATGTAACGATAGGAGTAAGATACGTTCATAAAGCGTTAAGGTTAGGTTAAATACTGAAGTGCTATGGATATGAGAGATTGATAAAAGAATATGATTAGGTTATGGTAGAAAGGGATAGGTGTGATAGATTAATAAAACAACAGCGTTAGGATACGTTCCTGTGATGATATGACTAAGGTACGTTCATGTAACGACATGACTGTGATAAGTAGAAGAACGTTAAGGCTATGATAAGTTAGGGAACATGACCACGAAGTGTTTACAATATGATATGATTAGTATACGACATGTGAATGACGGATATATATATGTTGTCATATGATATAAAAATGATATGAAATATGTTATAGTACGAGATATATGATAAATTGACATGTTTATAATATAGGATCATATATTGTGATGCAATATGCTATTGTATGATATGTATATGATGAAATGTTATTTTAAAAGCATGGGACGTTATATTATGTCTCATAAATTGTGTGTATACAGCAGGATATGAATGACACGAAATCACGATAAGTGGCATGAAATATAACCCCGTTAGTATTATGTATGATATGAGAACTGAAGAATGAGAAACAATATGATATGAATGTTGAACGATATGTAAAATGATATAAAAAACGATATGATATATACAGAACGCTAGCAGGGTTGTATTAAATGATAATGAAAATGAAAAAATGTTGTAATCTCATGCATTATGTGTGCTCATGCATTGGGGATACCCTATTCCATCACGAGGGTACGGACGTGTACATCCATTAGGCAGGTGAAATATCGTTATGTTTTACATATTGCTGCCGTGACGGTTACTAATTCTAGTGGGTGTTCGGAAAAAGTTGAGCTACCAGAGAAGGCTCACCCGACAAGAAAAGGGGTCCAGCGGTGTGCAAACTGTGGGTGAGCCCATACTCGCACGTATGGGCTGTGTGTAGAGTATATGGTACCATCCAGACTTCCCATTAGAATAGTCCCGTAGAAAAATAGACTGATATGATAGATCCGTCATTGTATATAGTGGGGTCACTTAGAGAGTATTTCTTAAAATACTCAAGCACGTGCTACCTCTATTTTAGATCAAGTCAACGCATTCCTGTACGTATGGCTGACGACGGTATCGCAACTCGAGACTATGACACATGCATAAGTAATCGTATTATTTTCTTAAACTTGGCTAGAATAAGATGTTTTTTTTATTTAAACATTTATTTATTTTATTTAGTCTTTTATGGTATTATTTATAAAGTATTTGCAAACACCTAAATCTATGACAGTATTTTAAAGTAAGCTATTTTTACGAAGTCATGTTTTATAAAAGTTTAGCTTTCATTCAATGTTTATAATATGGATACAGTAACTAAGTATAAAATTTTGGGTTTGTTACAAAATCTTAGTTTCAATTGTTACAATTGTTACAGAGATTCAATTATTAAGCTTCATCATCAACACCCAAATGATCAGGCTTCAACGTGAACCAGTAAAGGTGATTCCTGTTCTGGTGCAGCAAGAACACTGAACTTCTGAGCATTGAGGGAAGGGTTGGTGACAGACGGGTGAGAGATTTGCATTTCATAATCTCCATGGAAAAGTGATGCTTCAAAGAAGCCATTGGCATCTGTTGTAGCAGTGATTGAGTCTTTGATTCCCCACTCTTTAAGCAACTTGTCCACAACATTACCAGTAGCTAAGTTGTTGAAGTTGTTGTCTGTCAAGCACATTCGATAGCATCCCGATGGCGACCAAGCTGACCAAATCACAATCCCATTCACTTTTGGATGAGCAAATCCCTCTCTTAATGCTTGTTCCAAGTCTTGAGCCTGTTTGAATCCACACAAAAAACCCAGAATATATCAGATCATCATGTCAAGCTTTCACAAAATTCCTGCCTCAATTGATTTTGATTTTGATTTTGATTTTGATTTTGATTTTGATCCATTCCTAACTAATTGAGATGATTTGTAATGTCTAGGAGGAAGCTTCAGTTCTATAAGCTAATCAGTATGTATTACTTCTAATCTCACCATTAAAAGTAAACGTGAAAATTCCTCTGGCATGTAAATCCAGAGAATTTTTTATGAGTTGATTAGAAGAGGCATCAGATTCTTTGGCATGTCAATCTCAAAGCAACTTAATGGATTTCTTTATATTAATTTACCATCAGTCCTACCCAAAACTAAGACTAAGAACGGTTGAAATGCTCCTATAATCACCTTTAAACGAAATCCTTGAGTATAGTTGAAGCTCATTGTGAATCTAATTATCTGTATCATCGACTAAGATATGAATAACTCATTCTCACTGATTACTTGCTGCCACTTGAAAAAAGGACAAGCTAATGGATTGCAATACATTTGATTTTGTAAGACAGGACAAATATGGACAAACTAATGGTTATAGATGTGATTTGTTATGTATCCTACGATGATTTTGTTTTAAAATTAAGATAAATTCAACTGTAACCTAGCAGAGGAATATTAATTTTTTAAGATTTCTAGAAGTGTACCTGATTTGGCGAGTTAGAAACGTCGATTTCGGTGAGCCAAATCGGTACTCCGGCAGAACCAAGGGTATCAATGGCGGATCTCATGTAAGGAATGTTAGGAGAAGGTCCGAAATGCGATTCCAGTCCAATCGCGAATCTGCCGCCGCTATTACCAGAATAGTGCCTGATAGAATCCAGCTTTTGGAGGTACTTTGCGGGAGAAGATGCCGCATCGCCGCTATTCTCGATTGTATTATACTCATTCATAAACAACGGAATCGATCCATCGCGTTTCATCGCCCAATTATAAAACATACCGGAAGCAGCCGACCCTAATTTTCTCTCAAAAAAATCAAAATGGAGATTCTCATTCTCCACATCCCAAGCAATCACTTGCCCTCGGTACTTCGCCATGACCGAATCGAGTCTCTGTCGGGCGGCACTAAAGAGATCATTCTTCGAGAGCGATTTCAGCCAACCTTGTTGGTAGGTTTCGTCGTCCCAAAAGATATTGTGGCCACGGACGGCGATGTTGTGCTGCTTAGTGAACTGGATCATGGCGTCCGGTACGGAGTAATCGACACGTCCCTGCGTCCTCTCGGTGCTGTACCACTTCATTTCATTCTCGAAAGTGGTGGTGGTGAAGCGGGAGAGGAACCAGTTCTGGTAGGGGGAGTTGTTGAGAATGTTCTGGTTGATAGCGCAGCCGACATGGAAGCCCGGCCGCCGTTGTAGCAGAGAGATGGTTGCATTGGAGAGGGGATTTCCTTCTCTATCGATAGCTTGGATCTTCACTACCCTCTTGCGATACTGCAAATCCGCATTTCATAACTCTTGGCTTTATATACTACTCAATATCATTTAATAATAATTTACGCCCATTTATAATTATAATTATTTACTAAATATTTGAATTTTTAATTTTAAAACTTATTAGTATTTTTAATTTTTAATTTTTTTATTATTTTTTTGTGTTTTATTTTTCAAATTTAAAATTGTGTTCTCCTCTCAAAATTTATAAATATTTAAATTTTGAAATTAATTAACAAAATTAAAAAAAAATTATTAAAAAGATTTTTAACCTTTTACTCTCAAATATTAAACAATTTAATTCTTCTAAAATTAAGAGTTAGATTTTTATTGAAAAATTAAAATTACAAAAACTTATTGTGTTTGAATTATTATTATAATTATTTACTAAATATTTAATTTTTAATTTTAAAAATATTTATAAAAAATAGATAATATTACCAACAAACTTATCAGTATTTTTAATTTTTAATTTTTCAAAATAAAAAACTAAATAGTTATCTGTTTTATTTTTCAAATTTAAAATTGTGTTCTCTTCTGAAAATTTATAAATATTTTAATTCTTATTTAAATTTTAGAAACCAAAATAAAATTTTAAAATATTTACTTAAATTTTGAAAATAATATTTTAAAATTAGATAACAATTTTTTTAAAAAAAATATTAAATATATTTTTAACCTTTTACTCTCAAATATTAAACAATTTAATTCTATTAAAAATTAAAATTACAAAAACATAAATTTTTAATTTAATTATTTAATTATTACATTTTTAGACACTAAACTTTTACTAAATATTAAGTTAAATATTTTTTTTAAAAAAAAAACTTAGATAATTTATATATTATATATATATATATATATATATGTGTGTGTGGAGGGGTTACCTTCTCAATGGCATGGTCTTGATGAGCTTTCCATTGTTCTTGAGTAAATGGTTGCAATGAGACGCTATCCACCCAAATTTCCACCATAGTGTTGTTGCTCTAAACAAAATTAAATCAAAATTAAAATAGTTTTTAAATCCATAATTAACAAATTTAATTACCATAATATTTTATTTAATCAATCAATTATTTTAAATAATTTAGGAACGAGTCAATAAGTCGTATAAAGCAAGAACGTATGGTACTTTATGATAAAACCTAAGCCAAGTTTTAATAAACGAGTCAAATATTACCTTATTTGAGGTCAAAATTACCCACAGTTAAATTACAAGTTGAATACTCACAATATGTATCTATTTAGTCCATAAACTTTTAAAATATTTTAAAATAATTTATTTATTATATAAAAAATTAAATTCTAAATTTGTAATTGTGTACTAGTAAATAAATAATTTTATTTAGACAATAAATAGAAATAAGTTGAGAATTATTAAAATGAAAAAATAAAGCGTCCTACCTGGAAGTAGAGCTCAGCTGGACCTGATTCGCTGACAGTGAGGCCGCCCTTGAGGAAGGACCAGCAATTTGATTGGGCGGTAGTAACTGCCACGTGTACATAACCAGTTCTTGTTTTTATAACTGCTACCACGTCAGCTTTTCCCTCGTCCACTTGTACCCAAGCTGCAAAATTATTGGAATTGAGTTAAGAGTTGATTAATAAAAATAATTATCATCCAACAATTATCAATTAAACACTTTAATTAATTTAGAAAATATCAAAAAGATAATAATAGTAATAATAATAATAAACTATTTTACTTATCATTAATTTAAAATATTTTAATTATTTAATATGTACCTTTGAAATTTGAATTTAATTTCTATTTGGTCCTTACATTTCAATATTTTACACTTTTGCCTCCAAATTAGTATTTAAAATTAAGTTTAAGTTAATTCATAAAAATAATTATTTTAACCCTCTTAATTAATTTTAAAAGGTCAAGGACTAAAAAGTAAATATTTAGTTAAAAAAAATTAAGGATAAGAGTGCAAATTATGAAACTTAACCAAATATAAACAAAATTTACACATGTACCCTTGAATTTTGAGATTAATTTATATTTGGTCCTAATATTTTAAAATTTTACACTTTTACCCTCAAATATTCAATAAGTTTACGTTAATTAATTAAAAAATTTACTAATTTAATTTTTATTTTTTAATAGAAATCAACGCTAAGAACTAAAAGCTAAAAAAAACAAGGATAAAAGTACAAATAATGAAACTTAGAGACCAAATATAAACCAAATTTACGTTTCCAGTTTAGAGGGTAATTTCTATTTAGTCCCAATATTTTAAAATTTTACATTTTTTCCCTCAAATATTTAATAAGTTTACATTGATTAATTAAAAATAATCATGAATTCAATCCTTTTAATTAATTTTAAAACTAACAAAAACTATTAATTATTTATTTATTTTTAATTCTTTAATAGAAATCAACCTCAAGACTCAAAAGTGATATTTTGTGAAAAATTAAGGATAAAAATATAAATCTTAAAAATTTAGGGACTAAATGAAAATACCAGAAAATGTGTAGATGAGGTTTGTACGCAAGTGAAGAGTCTGGGAGAAGGCATCAAATGGATGGTTCCTTGCACGTGCCACTATGAATTTGTTGCCATTTGCTTCTTCTCTATGCTCTATTTTTGCACTCCCAAATGCCAACCATCCTTTCAACCCATCGTTCAACTCTGGGTTCTCCACTATCCCTCCCTTGTATTGAGCCTCTTCTGGCCTTGACAAACACTGCCCAAACACACCAACTCGATAACAATTTTGGATCGAATTCGATACTACAAATAGACCCGACACTGCTCGGGTCTCCATTTTTGTTCCAGATCAGTGTCACGACGTTCTACGTCTCAATTTTCATTTAACTTTTTATCCGGTTTCACTTTCACCCATTACCTTTCGTCGTCAGTCTCACGTTTTAAAATACGTCTATTAGGAATAAGTTTCCATACTTTTATAAGAAATACTTCGTTTCTCTCTCCACTCGATGTGAGATCTCACAATCCACCTCTTGAGGGCCAACATCCTCGTTAGCACAAAGCCGAGTGTCTGGCTCTGATACCATTTGTAACAACTCAAATCTACCAGTAGCAGATATATTACTTATAGTTGTCAAACTCATAGTTACTAGGGAGACTTTGTTCCCCTATTCACTCGATGTGGGATCTCACAATCCATCGTCCTTGAGGGTCAGCGTTCTCATTGGCACCACTTAGTGTTTGACTCTGATACCATTTGTATCATCTCAAATCTACAAGCATATATATCCACTTTGACCAGTTACTTAGCCATCAGACTCATAGTTTTAAAAAGCATCTATTAAGGAGAGGTTTCCACACCCTTATAACGAAAGTTTTGTTCCCTCGTTTACTCGGTGTGAGATCTCACAATCCACCCCTTGTGGGTCAGTATCCTCACTGGCACACTATTCGGTGTCTAACTCTAATATCATTTATAATGACCCAAATCCACCCCTTGTGGGTCAGCGTCTGTTTTTACCCATTACATATGACTGCTAGTTTCACGATTACAAAACACGTCTACTAAGAAGAAATTCCCAATCATTAAGAAGAATGTTTCATTTCCCTCACCAAACAATAATCTAAGAACAATTTAATGAAAAGGTATTTGACATATTAATATTGAGTCCTTACCTCGACATGAGTTGTGTAGTCATACGACAATGCCTCTATCCCGAAACCTGCAAAAGAAAAAAAAATAATAATATTTTTCGTTAACAACACGCGATTTTTTTTTTTTTTAATTCAAACAATATATTAAACTAAATAAACTTTAAAAAAAATTAAATAAATGAAAAAACCTGAAGCAAGAAGAACAGCAGAGATCATCAGAGTCACCGCCATGGCCATCTTCTTCCTTAAGAACAAAACAGAGACTGAATACAGAAGGATTGCAGAAACAAGAATTATGATGAATAAATAAGGATAATTATTGACTAATTAAGGATAATTTATATATAAGGAAATTAAAAATAGAAATAAATAAATAAATAATAAATAAATAAATAGGAAAAGAATGAAGTTTTTGCATGGGAGACAGATAGATATGGAAAAACGTATAGCCTTGTTTCTATCTATAAATAAATGTTTTTTTCTTTTTATTCTAATTCTACCGAGAAAATTAACTGTGGTAGTTTTTTTTAACCGAGTTCGGATAGAAAATTTCGACAACATTTGAGTTAACTCGAGCTATGTTTATTTCGGATTATTCAAAATATTAATAAATTCGATACAGATTGTTGGATGATAAAAATCCAGATCGGGTAAGGAAATGATCATGAGTTTATAATCAATGAATACTATCTTCAGATGAAATGTTTCTAGAAACCAAAACAAAATCATGAGAGCTTAAGTTGAGTGGACAATATCATACCATTGAATAGTCGTGTTCATCCCATAAAGATAAATAATATTTTCTTCCTTGAATTTTGATTATTTTATATAGTAAAAAGTTGTGTTTGAGAGACTGTTTAATTTGATTTTAGTTATTTATATTTTCGAAATTATATTGAATATTATTTGTAACTATATTTTTAGATTTTGGTTGGGATTTTTTTATAACAAATCCAAAATAATTATATATTTTTAAATTTAATGAAATAAAATATTTAATTAAAAAAGTTAAAATAATTATAATTATATATTTTTAAGTTTTGGAATAAAATCTACTCTTTGTAATTAAAATAAAATAAAATAATTATGAAAATTAATAGATTTGAATTTTATAGTATATAATTATTTTTCTTCCAAATTTTGTATATTAAGATACAATAATATCTGAACACTAAATTACGATTTTATTATTTTTCCTAAATTATTTATATATTTTCTATCTCAAACTTACCATTTTAGTGATAAAATGATTTAAATAAAAATATATTTTAGTAAGCTTAAAAAAACCTTAATTTATATTAATAATAATAAATAATGGAATGGTCGGGTCGGGGTCGGGTCTCAGCTAAATCCATCCTTAGGACCATTACTCTTTTTCTCAAAATTTAATTCAATATTTAATATTTAATATTTAATTACTAATAAATCTTTAATATTTAATTAGCAATCATTTTCCCTTTTTTGCAATTTGATTTTCCAACTATAAATAAATAAATAAATATATATATTATGAACAAAATTATTTATTTTCCTATCTTATTTTATATTTGTCTAAAATTTTAATGGCTCTCCAATAATATCAATTTAAAATATTTACCAAAAAAATATTTAATTTTCGACAAAACATTACTTATGATCTTTAAATATAAACGGTTTTTATTTTTGATATTTTTATTTATAAACCGAGTATCTTTGTTCTAGATAATTGAAATAATCTCAACCATCATTTCTCGAATAAAGTACAACCCCTTTTGAGGACACTTTCAAGCTCTCGAAGACGAGTATTCTCGATAACGTTGGATAATCCTCGAGGATCCTCTCATCGAACAAAGTATAACTTCTTTTGAAGCATCCTTCGAGCTCTCGAAGAGTCTTCCTTGAATCAAGGGTTGATTTATTTTGAGTCCTCAAACAAAATACACCATTTATTCGACATTTGAGTACGCGCTCTCGAAGCCCACACTTTGTTCGACAGTTTAAGAATTCTATTGACATGGTATATATGTGTAGGAACGTATAATGAGTTTCAATTTGATATTAAAATTTTAAAAAATGTATTACCATTTCCATCTATATTTACACACATTTAAGTTTGATCGAATAACTTTTCAATTAATTATATGGTAAAAAGATCGACATTTCCATTTTTTTTTTCAATTTTATAAATATATTAATAGAATAATAAAAAATTATAACAATTACTGATTTTATATGTTTATGAATTTAAAATTTGAGTTCTAAACCCTTTAATACATCAAATTTTAATAAATTTTAAAAATATTCCAGTTTTTAAAATTAATCTATATTAATATTTCATATGTATTTTTTGAAAATTTATTTATGTAGTATATATATATATATATATATATTTATTTATTTATTTATTTGTATGAAATTATTGTTATTATTATTTAATTAATTTCAATAAAATTTACTAAATTCAATATTAATTTAAAATTTATTAAGAGTCAAAAATAATATATATATATATATATATATATATATATTATTTTTGACTCTTAATAAATTTTAAATTAATATTGAATTTAGTAAATTTTATTGAAATTAATTAAATAATAATAACAATAATTTCATACAAATAAATAAATAAATAAATATATATATATATATATATATATATATATATATATATATATATATATATATATATATATATTTATTTGTCTGAAATTATTGTTATTATTTTTAATTAATTTCAATAAAATTTACTAAATTCAATATTAATTTAAAATTTATTAAGAGTCCAAAAATGATATATATATATATATATATATATATATATATTTATTTATTTATTTATTTGTATTAAATTATTGTTATTATTATTTAATTAATTTCAATAAAATTTACTAAATTTAATATTAATTTAAAATTTATTAAGAGTACAAATGAGATTTAAATGGACTAAAAATTGATAGAAAATGTATTTTAAATTAATAAAAATACCATAAATTTTGAACCCGAAAAATATTGTAAGGTTTTAGAAGTGTTAATAATGTCCAACTTAATATTTTTTTTAAATACTCTCCTAACTTTATAAAAATATAAAAAAAACATTTATTAGTTTTTGGATGAAAATCGATAATATTTCATTAAAAAATATCCTTAAAACTTAAAAAAAACATAAAATACACGGTTTCAAAAATACCCAACCTTTCATTAATATTTAATGGTTTAAAAACTTTAAAATATATCTTTATCTTTTTAAAATAATTAATACCACACGAAAAATATTTATGAAATATTTTAAAATAATGTTATTAATTTGATTTTTTTTTTATGGGTTAGTGAAATATTTTAAAGTTTAAAAGTATTTTTTTTATGGGTTAGGGAAATATTTTAAAGTTTAGAAAGTATTTTTAAATGGTATTTCACGTTTAAATGTATTATTCGAAAAATAAAGTTAAATTAGAATGTATTATTGAAATTTTAGAAAATTTAAAATAGAGGTTAAACTATTAATAAATTATTATTTTAGACCGGCTATAATTTTTTGGCGCCCAGTCTATAAATATCCGCGTTGCAATTACTTAAAAACTTTTTCATTAACTTCGGCGGGAAGCTTGGGAGATCTGGAGAAAAAATGGAAAAGAAGCAGATTGACGGCGATGACGATCGTCGTCCGTGGCAGTCTTACAACACTGTCTACACCAATGCAAAAGCCGGTAATTCTTATCTACTCACGAGTTGTTGATAACCTAGAGCTCTTTTTTTTTTTGAAAGTTTTGTTTATAGCGTCGATTTAAATTTGGAGGGCTAATTTATTTAGAGGAAACTTTCAAGTAATTGATGAGCTCTTCTGATCTTGTATGTGTGTATAATGCAATTGAACCAGTGGTTTGAATAGCTTAATTTGTATCCATGATCTTGACCCTGATCCGAATAGATCGATTTCAGTATATATTTTATTTGTTTGAACAAACCTGAAGAAATAATATACGAGTTTATTTTTCGAGATACCGTTGTTAATTAGAGATTTCAATAGTACAATTGGAAAATAGGAACGGATTTATTCATTGCAGATATAACATTCAATAACTATTGATATTTAACTCAATAAAGTAATGGATTGTAACAAATATATTATGATATCAAGTATTCTTAATCCTTCCCTTCTCTTTTTTCTGCGTGTAAGGTATGGAAGGTGTTGACAAGGAGAAAGTACAAAGAATTGTCTATGAAATGAGTAAAGGGTCGAAATATTTTGAAAATGAGGAGCGGAAAGAGGCCATCATCAGAGAAAAGATTGAGAAGATGCGAGCTAGATGTATGCAGCTTACTGCAACGGATCTTTCTCAGTATCAAAAGGTATATTCTATAAAAATTATGTCCTGCTGCATCTTCATTTATTTATCACTTGATTACATGTGGGGTTTTTTGCCTAGTGAAAAGTTGCATGTTTGGGGCTCAAAACTGATAACTTTAGTTTCCTAAGTGAACAAATGCCAAACCTGGAATTAGAAGCACCTTATTTTCACATTATGCAACTGACTCCCATTTGCGAGGAGATTGAGTTTGTAACTTGAACTCTATAGCGAGGTTCGTTCAATTACCCGGGAAAGGATAGAAATTGAATCATTGTTTTCTCCCTTACCCTTTTCCTTTTTAAAAAAAAAATATATAATTGGATATGCAATGATAAGTCATTGTTTACCTCGAAATAAATTTCCTGGCCTCTGAGATGATATTTCAGCCAGACTATCGTGTTTTCACGCTAATGTTATGGCTCTTAATTAGAAGTTTGGTGCAGACATGGGAATATGTATGTGTGCTCAATAAACGTCTGTTTCCTACTACACTTGAATTAAATCAGGCAGATGTCATTTCATGCAATTCTGATCGACAAAATTTTGTGGTCAACAGTTTGGACTTTTCGGTGAATGTTGATTCTGATGCATACCTTCTATCGTGAAATATTTAAAATTTCTTTGTGTGTCTGTATTCCTAGCCACAGTCATGTGCAATCACGATTTAGAGTTCTGAACCAAGCTAGACAACTGAGTAGGGGCCCATTATCAAATCCTTCGGAAGAATGATTTGACTCTGTTTCTCCACTGCTATTTAGGGGACTGATAATTCAGGCTAATGAGTACATATATATAAATATATTTTATTTCGGTATGATCTTCAGTTTTTGCTTAACATATCAGTTTAGTCAAGAGTGTTGTCCTCATATGAGCAGGTTGCAGATAAAAGAATTTTGGAGCTGGAAAGTACACGTGACCTGTCAAGGATATGGTTGCATGTAGATATGGATGCTTTCTATGCCGCTGTTGAAACTTTAAGCAATCCTTTATTAGAGGGCAAGCCAATGGCTGTTGGTAGCATGTCGATGATTTCTACTGCTAACTATGAGGTTTTCTTGTCTCTATATATGACATGAATTATTTCATTTTCAAGTTACTGGATTGGTAACGCTATTGTTGTTAACTTGTTATTCTGGATTAGGCTCGAAAATATGGTGTTCGTGCTGCTATGCCTGGTTTTATTGCACGTAGATTATGTCCGGAGTTAATTTTTGTTCCCACAGATTTCAAGAAGTATAATTATTACAGTGATTTAGCTAGAAAAGGTAAGAATTTTGCTTCAAGGAACTCTAAATGCATTTTGTATGTTAAGTGCTTATCCTTTAGTATTCACTTGTTTGTCTTGTTAGTATTCCGTAGGTATGACTCCAACTTCTTGGCTGCTAGTCTGGATGAAGCATACCTCGATATAACTGAAGTCTGCAAAGATCGAGGCCTTACTAGTGAACAAGTAATCACATTTTATTACCTTTTCACTATATCTTTTAGAACTTTGGTGTTTAAGTATTTAGGGTTTATCTTGTAGACAGCCTTTAGTCATCCTATTTTGGATCCTTCTCTTTTTCTTTTCTTGTTTTTTTTTTCAAAATTTTATATCTTCTAGAGAATTCAGAATCAGCATTAGAGAATGTTCTTATGTAGTTTTTGAACGAGAGACAAATAAATGAAAAGCTACTAATACTCAAAGATACAAACTCTACAAGGGAGTGAAAATTAGAACACAAAAAGAACCACTACAAAGAACAAAAAAAGATCAAGATATAAAAAATAACTTCTGCAACAAGAAACACCAAGCAAATTGAACAAAAAGAAACTAAGAAAGAGAGAACCTAAAGGACCAAACTCAACACAAAAGATCGTACTTTGAAAACAGAACCACATACCAAGTTTGAGAACCAAAAGTCTTGAACAAAAAAACAGGAAAGACTCAAAGATTTGAGACCTAACAAAAAAGAACGGCTACCAAGGAGAAAAAGAAAAATTGAGTCCAAAGTACCAAGCATGAACCACTGAACCCAAACCAAAAAGCAATGGAGCAATCACTTTTAAAACAATTGCTTTGAGAATTAAATGTAGGAATTTCACACATCTTGAGACCACAAGCTTCAATAAGAGAAGAAAATTTGCTAGACATCGATGAAGGAAGAGAATGAGGAATCACTGTCACTTTCTTGAAATAATGATACTAAATCATCTCCAAAGGAATCCTTTGCACCAATATTGTCAATAGTAGTTTTCATAAGTTTCAAAGTAGATTTCACGTTACTCAAACTAACTTCAAATGCATCATCAAAGTCATCAACATAATGTGAGAGAAGGAAAACTCGTGGGTTCCTTTGAAGAATGAAATACTTCTTTAGTGAGAACAACATTGGAATCTAATATAGTTAAATCTTGGTGCCTACAAATCTGAAAAACAAATTTCTTGACAAATGGAGCCAAAATGCTAGAAACATTTTCTTCAATGCAATCTGGATCACGGCAGAGTTGATCAACGAATGACAACAAGCGATCAACGAAGGGATGATGACAGGCATTGACAGGCAATGGTGGCTGACTGGGAGGGTTAGAGTTTTAGGGTGAGGGAGGAGTACGGTTGTGGGCTCAAGAGCTGCGGAACAAGGAAAGAGAAAAGATAAGTGAAAAAAAGGACTGGCGAACAGCAACGGAAATGATTGACAAATGGACTGGCGAAGGGATGATGATTGGCGGCGGTGGCGGCAAGAGACAACAATTGACAAAGAGGGTTAGGGTTTTAGGGTGTGGGAGGAGAGAGGGAGGAGAAGGGTTTAGAGTTTCCTGAAAATATGGAAAACTGAATATGATTTTTTTTTTCTACAAAAATATGTGCTTATGTAGTTAGTAAAGTTCTTTACATTGAGATTGTATATTTTTCAGATAGGAAGTGAATAGTATCACATGCAGCAGATTACCTTTTGGTTGTCTTTTTGGTCATCTAATACTAAAACTTTTCTCTTCCTATTTTGCTTATGTTTTTTTAGATTGCTATGGATCTCAGAACCAGTATTTATGAAGAAACTGGTCTTACGTGTAGTGCTGGGGTTGCTGCCAACCGACTACTTGCCAAGGTTTTCTATCTTTTCACAAGATCTATTGAGCATATGCGTCTCTTGTTGGAAAAAAGTACAAATTTATTATTGTTTTTGGTAACTGTGAAATTGCTTGGCAACATATTTGTCCTACCATTTATGGAATAACAAGAATAGAATCTACTATCCATTTTCGTTTGTATAGTCCTTGTGGATTAAAAATAAATGAGAAGTATTGCACAGAAGAATTGAATTGACGCACCATACTTGTTATTCAGGTCTGCTCTGATATTAACAAACCAAATGGACAGTTCATTTTGCCAAATGACCGAAGAGCTATTGTAACATTCGTATCATCACTACCCATAAGAAAGGTATGTGGTCATTACTTTTACGTTGAAACAGAACTCACAACGTTATTCTAGATGTTATTAAAATATGAAGTAATATAAATGAATAAGAGTTCTCTTCCTATAGTCCTATTTCATGAATGAAATGAATCGGCGAAGTTATTATCTCAGATTGGTGGCATCGGAAAGGTCACTGAACATATCTTAAAGGATGCTTTGGGGATTAATACATGTGAGGAGATGCTACAGAAGGGTGGTCACCTCTGTGCGTTGTTTTCTATATCCTCAGCAGGTCAGTGCACTGCGATATCCCACAGAAATTATATAATGAACTCATGGATGTGTTGGATGCTCCATATTCTCATTTAAGATTCATTTATCTTGATGACTTGAACACTCTTCTAGTTGTCTTTTTTCTCATCAATATAGTTTTTTTTTTAATCTTGTATGATAATTTGTTGATTTGTATATATTCCTCTTTTGCTTGAGTATGTATCTACTTTTTGTTTATTATATGAGGAACAATTTGTGCTTCTTATTTTTTCTTTCATTCTTTTCGTTCTTTTTGTTTGAACTACTTTTTTTTTAGTAATTATTTTTAGTGTAAGTTTGTACATCTTTTTTTTTCTTCTTCATGAAATTGTGGAGGCCCAATTTTTCATATGCATGCTTCAGCTGATCCCATAAAGAATTGCCTCATGCTAGTGATATTTGATATGGTAAGAAGTCAAGTGATGTTTGTAAGAGTTCATATTCTCCTTTTGATAGGAAGAGCTCATCAATTCTTCAACTTTTCCATTTTGAAAAATGTGGGATTTTGTTCCATATACATCATCGAGAAAAGTCAAGTGATGGATCAGTTTGCTGCTCCAAGTGATGTTTGTATGAGTTCATACTTATTTTGCTGCTCTAAATGTAGTTATACATTTTGGATTTTGGGTACTAATTACAAATAGGCGAATGTCAGGATACTTCTTGTATTTCCCAATACTCTGCCATTCTACTTTTTGTATTTCCCAATACTCTTAGTCACCTAATCGAACATCTTCTTGTTTTTTCTGCTTGTTTTATGATTTACTTTTTCTTTTTACTTTTTCTTCATTTTGTGCTGCCCTGCCCTTATTGATTGTCATATCACTTTTTAGATTACGATATAACTCATTATTGAAAGAAAAGTTGTAACCTGTTTTCTTACGGAAGTATGATTTTGACAATCAATTATTGATTGTTGCATCACTTTATACAATCTTTTTAGGTCTTACCCATGCTTGCAGATTTTTTCTTGTCGGTTGGGCTTGGCCTTGGGAGCACCGATACTCCACAGGTGAGATTGCGTAAGAGCATCAGTAACGAAAGAACGTTTGCAGCCACTGCTGAAGAAACATTAATTTTCCAGAAACTTGGTAATTATTCCCCTTCTCTCCCTCCCTCCCTCTTTTATTGAAAAATACTATCATTATTTGGAATTTCACCATGCATGATGCGAGAAATGCTGGATTGCTGGTTTGGCTTTCTATTGAAATTGTACTCTAAACTCAAGTTCCAACTTTTCCATCAGTTATCTTCAGAGTTTATACCTCCCTTATGCTTGCACTTTGTCCGTTGTATGGTTTGATGTATTTTATCTCTCACTTTTTCTTGTTATATTTGCAAAATTTGGTGTTTCAGCTAGTAAAACTAGAACATCTCTAATTTCATCGGATAATCTTGTTGAATTATTAACATAATTTGAGAAAACATTATGATGGTAGGTTATAGGTGATGTTTTTAATATTTTGGTCATCATTTAGAAGACTGGCTGCGGAGACTAGTATTGCCATTGTTGAATTCTTTGACCTGATCACTAGAAAGAATCCCATCAGCAGTCCAAAGATAACTTTACTCTGTAAATTATTGTGGTAACGAATACCTTGAATGTTAAGATTTTCTTTATCATTAAACCTGTAAACTTTGTATAAATTGCAGCTGACCTTGCAGAGATGCTGTCTATGGACATGGAAAAAGAAGGTCTGAGCGGGCGAACACTGACGCTTAAACTAAAAACTGCATCCTTTGAGGTATTTTATTTTTCCTGAATCCTGTCTATATCTGCTTAGATTGGATAATCTAGAAGAAAATTCACATTTGTAATATGTTGAGATTTCAATAACCACATATTAAGATGTGTGACTATTAACTCTGCTCTTTTTTCTTGCAGTTGTTGATTTGGTTTTACTGCTCGAACTCAACTTGTTTTAAAATTTACAGGTTAGAACCAGAGCTGTAACTTTGCAACAATACATTTGTTCTAGCAGTGACATCTTGCAACATGCATCAAAGCTGCTTAAGGCTGAACTGCCCATTTCTTTGAGACTAATCGGTTGGTTCTTGATTTTACTGTCTTTTTTTAACGAAAAAAAGTGGCAATGAAATAATTCAGGCATGTTTAATAATCAATTTGTTTTCTTTTTATTTTCTTTTTTCCTGGAAATTAAGCTTATTACCACTTCTTTCATGCATGCGTCTCTTTGTCTGTTTTCTATTTATTGAAAAGGTTAAATCTAAGTTCATTAAAAAGAAAAAATTACTAAGAATTCAAACATGTTTTTTTAGTAAAGTGAAGGCAGACTCGCAAAATTATTAGAAAATAATCTTAAATGTTGAAAACAAAAAATTAAATTATTATCAAACGGAGCTTTAGAGTTCATTTTTTACTGGTGTTGATCTCATGTGCTTAGTTTTTTTATGTACTAATATGCTCAAATGTGATCCGCCATGTCTCACATATGATGAAGTTAAACATTGAAATCCTTGATGTTGCAACATACATAATTTAGATTGTAAGAGGATCTTTACATCTCTAGGGTTGCGGATATCTCACTTCAATGAAGATGGAGCCATTGCTGGGTCTGATCCGGCTCAAACACCTATTACTCGATTTATTACATCAGGAGATGCTACTAGAAAGAATATGGGTGATTGTTGCACCTTAAATCCTGATCCTAACGTTCATGACTTCATGGATGAATCTGAAATTGATGTATTTATCAATGGCACTGAAACACACCATCAAGATAGTAGTCATCCAAGAATTGGCAATAATCTCTCGAATATGGATGACCGAAACTGTACATCCAGCAATGACGCTGAGAAGTCGGAGAAATTTAAGAATCTTTCGAGCAACGTCAGTACTGATCAGGTATATTTCCAAGACTAAAGACTGGATTATGGATTATGGATTATTAAAGGTAGCAAAACTTTAATCGATTGGGTACACTTATAGTTCTACTTCATCATACAAATGGCTTCTAATGCATTAAAACTACATGTAGGTGGACAATTTGAATGGCTTTGTCCCTCGAATATCGGGCACAGCATGTGCTTCTTCCCCTAGAAACCTCGAAGGCAATCAGAATAGTAATGTCGAAGCCAGAACTAACGTCGAGGCAAGATCACCAGATAATAGTGGACAGAATCTGTGGATCGATGACTACAAATGTGCAATCTGTGGTGCCGAAGTACCAGAGAGTTTCATTGATGAAAGACAAGAGCACATGGATTTTCACATTGCGGAAAAACTCCAGGAAGAGGAATCTGGCATTCGTTCAAGAACCCTTACGCCAATCCGAAGGTAATCTTATTTTGCACTCTCGAATTTAGTTGAATTTATGTTTTAACTACTGTTGAAAAGCAAAATAGGGAAAAATTTAAACAAACATCTTGATGATTTTAAATGAGAAGACTATTGGTGCATAGATTATGGTCAGGCTGAATGTGAGATCCCACATCAATTGGAGAGAGAAACGAAACATTCCTTATAAGAGTCTGAAAACCTCTCCCTAATAGATGCATTTTAAAATCGTGAGGATGACGGCGATACGTAACGTGTCAAATACGTAACGTGTCAAAGCGGACAATGTCTGCTAGCAGTAGGCTGGGGTTGTTACACTGAATTTCCAGAATGCTTCATGGATGTATTTCTAAAAACTTTACGAACTATTCTGCATTTGGCTGATCAAGAATGTCATCCTAGATGTGTTTTTATAATCGTGATTCTTACACTGAATGCCTGGTTTCTAACAGGACTCCTGACAAGAACCAACTGACAAGTCAAAGGAAGCAGAAAAGGCAAAAGTCAACTCCAAAGAAAGAGGTCAAACACATTCCAATTGACTTATTCTTTGTGAAGAATAATCAGAAGTTTTAGTATTGGTACGTTTTGTGTTTGTATATATTTGTTCATATCTTTTGGGATATTACCCATTGTTTTTTTAGGATAGTTCATCGTTTCATTCTTCTCATGCAGCGTCATAAGTTTCTACGTTAATGTACGGTAAGTATAATGATAAATCTCATTCTTTTTATGGATTGTCACTTGGCGTTTTGGTTTCTTGGTAAAGCACTGGTATTTAGATTTTGTCCGATAACTCATTTGTTTTTTTTTTCATGCGAGAATTGATGTGTATTTGAATCATAGGGGCTAGTAATCGATGATATATTCATATTGGTGACGTTTTTATCCTTATAATCAAGGAAGCCATCCCAAATACACCCCTAGAAAGATCATTAGTGATTAGAACGGTAATTGTACTTGTATTGTAAAGAACTCACACTTGTAAAGAAATTAGTATGACAATACGATATGATTACAATGTTGTAATTGTTATTGATCAAGAATAGGATCGATAGTTATTTATGAGGATAGTTGAAATGTATGTAAACTAATCAAAATCATTGAAAATATTAATAAAAAAAAAGTAGAATTTATAATCTTCTAAATTTATTGTATGGGTCGTGCCTTGTTTATATGTTACATGTTACCTAACTTAAAGTTTGTGTCAACTTTAATAACGGTGGTTCATGTGACTACAAATCTTGACATATGATTTGAACTTTAAGAAATTATACGTAAGATTTCTTTAAATAATTTAAAAAAAATTATAACCCCCCATCTAACTTGTGATATAGATTGTTAACTCAAATCATATGATAGGTCGACGACGATTGGATTTCGTGGATTGAATTTTACTTGACTGTCAACAGCTCCCTTGCGTGTGCTCGGGGTAGAAGAAGTTTTGTATAAACTTTCTAAGAGGTAGAAGAGAATAAACCGGTTGAAGCGTAATTATATATATATTTTGTATTAGAAAAAGGCACCCCCACACACAGCATAAGAAGCATACTTCAAAACAGAATCAAGGGACCAAGAAAAGCATTGAAATAAAAAAGTAATAATAATACATTAAAAAAAAAAAAAAAAAAAAAAAAA